AATTTTGTGGACTTCTTAAAACCTACGCACTTTTTACTCGTGACCCTCTTTACTTGCAGGACATGTATTCAAGTTTTAAATGGAAAAGGCAACTCAAGTTAAGAGTAAAATGATTCTCTTACTTACCTACTTAGAAACTTATTGAAGAGAAGATAATGTTTATTTTTAAAGATTTTGTTGATAAAATATTCATTTTTTTATCGGATTGTATTTTTAACCTTCAGAGTAAATATATGCATACATAGTAATCTTCCACATTGAATTAACGCCTAACAAGAAATATCCTAAAACAAATTTTAACAGTTTTTGTTCGTAAAATTGCTTTTTGTAGTTTGAGTAAAATTTACGCGTGCAAGTCTTGAAAAAACCTATTTTTTAAAACAAATTTCAGCACGGTTTCCAGACAATAATTTCAGTGTTAAAAATCTCAATAAGTTTTTTCAAAAGATGTTAACACCTTTTTCACTCAAATTTCACCTCTAGTGTTTTTTACTTGAATTAACGACCAACGTTGATTCCCTAAACCAAATTTAAACAGTTTTTTTTTTTTTTTTTCAAAAGATTTTTTTAGCACGGGTTCCAAACAATAATTTCAGTGGTAACAATTTCAGTAGATATTTTAAGAGTAGCTTAACATTTTTTTTTTGTATTAAATTTCACCTTTTAATGTAATTATAATTGCCTTTTTCATTATAAGTGCGAGTTTTTATTTTATTTTATTTTATTTTTTTTATTACAGTCGCTGCTGATACTGCCGTGCTAAGGAAAAACGCCGTATGAGCTGCTTTGCTGTTGGCAAATTTCTCTCGACAAAATATTTATTTCTGAAGAAAGTTTTGCATATTTTTCCTAAAAATGTTCAGATGTTTCAGACGAAATTGTGAACAAAATTGCCTGGAGAAATACAGGGAAAATATTCAGAATGTTCCCAGTAAATTAGTTTTTTATTGAAGGAAATGTGGCATCGTTTAAAGGCTCATACGGCGTTTTTCTTTAGCACGCAGGATGGGGATAAATAAAATAAAAAAGAAGCGGCAAAATACACTATTTTCCCGTTGTTTTTCACAGTGCTGTAAGTTTCCAATCTACGTGTTTCACCCGAAAATTCATCTTAAAATGAGCCTAATCTCTCAGCCTTTTTTTTTTCAGTACGAGTGCGAGTTTTTCAAAATTTTCCCCCTTTTTTTATTTCATTTTTTATAGATTTTTTTTAAACAGCCGTTGTCGATAGGGATAGATAAAATAAAAAGAGGCGAAAAATACACTATTTTCCTGTTGTTTTTAGAGTGCAATAGGTTTCAATCTACATGTTTTACCCGAGAATTCAGCTTAAAATGAGTCCAATCTCTCGATTGGATCGGCGAGAACCAGCGACAAATCCGCGGGGAGTCCCGTCGCGATCTCGTCACGTGGTGGCCATGTGTGGCAGGAGCGTCGGAGCGCACGGGGTAGTCGAGCGACGCGGCGAGACACGGCTAGACTGAAACCACTGACGTCCGTTCGTTTCAGCGCTCCCCGTTTCAGCCCACCCCCCACCCCCCTCCGGCGTGATTAGCCGGGAAGGGGCGAGGGGGAAGAGTTGCGCTGGAACCGAACGGAACGTCGCTGGTGCTCCGCGGAATGCTGCCGGGGAGCTGGAAGACGATTCCCACGGTTCGACAAGAAAAATGGTGAAATTCATTTGTACAGATTTTGCTCACCCAAGTAGCATGGGGTTCTATTTTCTGTCTACCACTAATTTAGAAATTTTCAATTTTCTAGACAGAAAAATAAAATAGAAAGAAAATGGAAATAAAATAGACGTATAAAATAGAAGTAAGACAATTATTGAAAAACTTTTATTTTCTGTCTATGTTCCGGACACTAAATACGAGGGAAACAGACAATTTTCTTGTCTACATTCTGTGTTTTTTATACCTGTGTTCTGAATTTTAAATTTCTGAGAAATAGATAAAGAAAACATCCAATTTTTCTCTATTCTCCATCAGGTTTTTGGATATTTTTTCTTACGGAAATTGCCCTGTCAATTTTTTAGATGGAAAACAAATTCATTTTGTAGACAGGAAATAGACCTATTCTCTTTGGTAAATAGTGACACTCACTTTAAATTTTTTGTCTACTTTCCACAATGCTAGCCACTTTTTCTTTATTTTCTAAATTTTTTTCATTAATTTTTTTTCATAGAATATTTTCATTTTGCTACTTGGGTTCTGACAATCCGATCTACCTTCGAGAAAAAATTTCGTGAGAATTGGTCCAGTACTTACATCTCCAATGCGGGTTAATTGTTGATATTGACAGACAAAACAATGGACAGAGGACATAGGGAGTATGGAACGATTCAATTGGTTGGAATAGTTGATTCCTATTGACTAAAGGGAGAAAATGATCGACTAACTATAGGATCTCTCGTGGGTTGCCGTGATTACAACTCTCTCAATTTTTAAAAGCTCTGAAGTGCGAGTTTTGAAAAATTCCGCCAGTATAATTATGTGGACGTAAAAACATCCAATCATCCTACATGAGCATAGGATCTCATAAAATGGCATTGCCGTGTCCCCTAATAGTTCCAATGCTATTGAAAAGTGTGAGGAAAGACAGGGTAAACCACTGCTAAAACTCAAGTTTTATTTTTTCCTATTTTACCAATTAATGATTACGGAGGAAAGTTGCAGTCTTTTAAACTATACGTATCATGAACGTATTTTTAATTTGCGGAAAGCACACGCTGCCACTCTGCTGTTCCGGTTTTCAACTGATGCAACTATTCGGCCTCTGAGGCCTCGATGAGAAGTATCTTTTCTTAGTGAAGGCGTTTTGAATGCGCCGTCGCTCCTCATCAAATAGTCATCTGAGGCAATCGTATTTATTTACGCGGCTTCACTGTTGATTGGGTTTTCTTATATGATGCAACTATTCGACCTCTGAAGTCACGCTAGGAGGTATCTTTTCTCAATGAAGGCGTTTTAAATGCGCCGTCGCTCCTCATCAAGTAGTCATCTGAGGCAATCGCATTTACTCACGCGGCGTCGCTGTTGATTGGGTTTTCTTATATGATGCAACTATTCGACCTCTGAAGTCACGCTAGGAGGTATCTTTTCTCAATGAAGGCGTTTCTTATGCGTCATTACTCTTCATCAAAGAATTATTTCCAGCAACAGCAACCGCATTACTCACTAATCTGAAATACAAGTAAAAGACCATATCTTTATTCTCCTTATTCTTTGACACTACTGAACTGTATTTTTTTTAGAATATCTCTATGTGCAATATGAGTAAATTTCTTAAGTGAGACACATCAACAGGACTAGACTTCATCGAACTGTTGGGCCTTCTTATGAATCTCAGAAAAAACTACGAATTTGGAGTTCAGAGGCGATTGATTTTATATTACGTCAAAACATCTTGAATAATTGCTCTAGGTTGAATATTTGTCAAACCAATATAATTTAGGATTGGAAAACACTAAAAACAAGACCTAACATCTTATCTTGACATCATCTTGAAAAGGATGGGTATAGTTGATTGGAGCACCCATAATCAGGGCCGGATTTATACCTACTTGCCGCCCATGGACCGCCTGTATTTTGCCGCCCCCTTCTCATTCGTTTCGAAACATCAATAAAAACCATCATGTGAACGTGTCGGAGGGTGAGGGGTGCATAAGACGAGTTTACTCGTGTTGGGCACATTTTTTGCGAAAGCCCCGTCAGCACTGCTAGCAAAAGTTCACGGAACTTTGCGCTTAAGTTAAGTTCCGTAAACCTATCTCTGTGTGAACAAGGCCTTCCATTTGTAAGAAATGAACGTAAAAATTATGCAAGAACAAACATAAATGTGGTTTAATAATTTTAACGTCCGCCGCCACGTCGCGCTGACCTCACTGTGTTTGGTGCAATGCGTGAAGTATTCCTACGGTCTTGTAGGCGCTATGCGTTTCACGCCGACAGCCGCTGAACGCACTGTGTTTGACGCACTGCGTGAAGTATTCATGCAGCCTTGTAGGTGCTAATATGTGTTACATGCCGACCGCCGCACAGTGGATTGAGTCAATTAGAGAGGTCGGACATGAAATTTTTGACAAAAACTGCAAATGTTGATGTTTATTCCGTCACATTTTAAAGTTCAAGGAGTGATGTTAGAAGAAAATTTTACGAGAAAACCAATGGAACCATTTGCAGAACATCAGATTCTTGTATAAGCGGAGTTATAAGCATTTAAAGTTTCAAAATTTTGTCCGACCTCTCTCATTGACTCGATTCACCGTGCGCCGCGCCGAGGGCTCCTCCTTTTCATCATTACTCTCTGCGCCGCGCCGCTCCATGCCAAATTGCTTGTTTGGTTTCTCTCTGAAGTCGACTAATTAAAGGTGCTGTCTCTTATGTAACCGAAAGACGATTTTCTTGTTTGTAATTTTTTTTTCTGAATCCGATTTTTTTTATCCCTACAATTTAAAAAAAAATGCAAAATTTGTCGCTCCCTAAATTTGCCGCCATGGGCCTCGGCCCATGTGGCCCATGGCCACCCCCTTAATCTGGCCCTGCCCATAATGTAGCAAAAATCGTTTAATTCTGTCATTGGCAAGTTTAAAAATCATTTCTGGCAACTCAATATTTTAACTTGTAATGCTATGTTGAGCCTCTTAGCGTGAAGCTGGTGTAGGGGACTCTTACCTTACTATATACCCACCCAACTCTCTAAAAACCTTAAAAGAATCTTACTATACACTCTTATTCTTTAAACCTCTTGTACCATTAATAACCTCCTCTGTCTATAGATGGCTGTAGATTCCTAACTTATCAATATAAAGGAATAGAAGCCAAAAAAAAAAACTCAAAAAAAAAAAAAAAAAAAAAACTTGTAATGAATCGCCTAATCGGAGGTCCTTAGAACTTTTTCTTCAATCAAATACTGCGGGGAGGCAAGGTCGTACATTTAAAATTGCCGCCAAGGATGAGTCATTGCCGGTGGTTGTTGACCTTCGTTGCACCATGTTTACATTTTTGAGGTTATAAATACAGTAACTGCAAGTTTCCGAAATTGTGCTGAAATGTGCGTTTTTAAAGTTCAAGTCTTCAAGCACAGCAGTTGATTTGCGCAGAAAATCAATCTACTAGTAATCTCAATCCTCATTGGTTCGTAGTGTTTATATCATCGCTTTATGGGTTCTTCAATCAGCACCTTTGCCCGCAAGTGTTGAGCAATACCTACCTGGGTTCATAGTTTTACCGATATGATGCAAGCAATAACCTTCAGAAATACTATTATCGTTTCATAAATTCAAGAACTTCATTAGTTCACGCTGCTTCTAATTGGAATTAAACTCAGTAATTTCAACCTAGAGCAATGGAGAGTTAACACAGGTACTGGTAAGCGTTTGTCCAGTTCGCACCTAAGTATGCATCAACGTAAATACAGAGATTGCTGATCGATAATAGAAATATCCAAGTATTTTATTGTATGTAGTATGTATTCCCATATCGTAACATTGTTTAAAGTCTAAGTTGCAATCAATAAATCAGGAGCCGAAACCTGGACCTGTCAACATGAGACAGACTCTGTAGATAGGTAGTATTAGAAGCTGAGAATCGAGCAGGGGTGAAGATGCTTCCTAATCAAGTAATCATGATCAAAAGAGAAATAGGAGACTCCGAAATTTGGGAATGCCAGAGTGCCACAGCGTGCAAGTCGCAAGTTTCTTCGGAAGTCGCTGTATCAGGATGTTTTTTGTATCAATTGCAGAGTACTTAATTCTGCTAATTTGCGACAATTTGTAAATAATAAACATCAGTGAAGGTCTCAGCTTTGAAAATTTTGGGGAAAACTTTATGCATCCCTTCAATCAAGTAGCCTAATCTTTAAAGTCATGGTATTTTAGTGTTGAAGCGTAATTAATAAATCATTTAAAATATCAACCCTTAATTTCATTAATGGGTAGGAAGACTCCTTAAAAACCTAGTCTTGTCTTTATTGCTTAAGATGTCAGTCAGCATGCAGTGGTCATTTTCCCTGGACGTTCTTTCCAATGAGGAAACTAGCCGTAGCTTTCCAGGAATATTTTCACGGTAACTTCTGGGAGATATCCGATAGGATAAGAATTTTGGAAAATTGCTGAAAAAAAAAAAAAAATTGCGCATTTTTCCAGAAACAAATTTTCTGCTTGAACTTTGTCAACCTTCCATGTACTTACTTCATTGATAGAAACTAGAATTTTAGTTTGGTTTTCTCATTTACTTAAATTAATGGCATAGCTCTGTGACTTTTATCATTTTGTTATTTACAATATTTATTATAATATTTTATTATTTGTCCACAGATTTCTAAAGGCGAGAAAAGTACATTAAAGCAAAATGCCAGTTCCATTAGGAGTGGGTGGAGTGTCACAGTCTGGACCATCCTGTTTCGACAGAATGAAAATGGGATTCATGATCGGCTTCTGCGTCGGCATGGCAACAGGAGGCCTTTTCGGGGGCTTTAATGCATTTAGGTAATCAATTTTAAAGCCTGATTTCTCATTTCTTCAAATTTCAGAAAATTTTAAGAAGTATCATTTGCAAAGTGTTGCTGAAAAACAACTTTTTTCATGAAATTCTTAATCAGTTGTACTCATCAACTAAGGATCTCATTGCTTTAGTAAGTAAGTAATCATAGAAACTCTAACGCACTTAAGTACACTGTAGGTGGGGAAAACCAATATTTTCAAGTGTACAACCAGGAAAAGAAGTTTAATTTTGTAAAATTTGATACAATTTTATAAAGCAGCCCATGAGAATGGAACAATGTAAGAAGAAAAAAATAGAAGGGAAACAAGGCTTCAAAATTTTAAAAAAAATACTAATTAATTTCTTTTTTTCTAGGGTTTTAAAGTAGGTAGTGATTTTTAGCCTTATTTCCTATTTGTTTTATTTTTCTTTTTGCGATGTTTCTTTTGAGATCTAAGTGCTAGGAAAAAGGAAATGAAGGATGCACTGGGGTTGACTTCTAAATGAGGCTCAGTGGCTCAAGCTTAAAGCATACATCAAAACGTCGACCTGAAGGATTTGAAATTGAAAAGGAATTTACCCTCAAGAAGATCGATTAAATTAAATTAGAGGCTTCCCTGGATTACTTTTTTCTATTTTCTCTCACAAGTTTGCTGTACAAGGGTAAAAATCAATATTTTCAAACAAGCAAGAAAAAAAAGAGATAAATTTGTGAAGGTACGAAGAGGAGATTTTGTATTTCTGAATGAACAGGATACTATTAGGGACTTTCCAAAGTTCAAGTAATAAAGTTTAATTTGACTTGTTATAAGAGTAATGGGTGCAGTGAATGTATTTCTTGTGTTTATTTTTATCTGACTAATTTTTCCCTTTTTTCACATTGTGTAATGCATTTTTGTTGTTTTGTTTAAAGGTACGGGCTAAGAGGGCGAGAGCTTGTGAATAATGTCGGTAAAGTTATGGTACAAGGAGGAGGTAGTTTCGGCACGTTCATGGCAATTGGTACTGGTATTCGGTGTTAGTCTCCTAGAAGCAGACTATTCTTGAAACCAAATCAACATCTGTAGCTGAGCCTATTTTTAGCTACAGTTGTCTCAAATAGGTACCTTACCCTCTCTGCTGTTTCATGATCTTTGTTTAGTTTAGCAAATAATCAAGCTAAGAAGTAATTTTAGACTGAACTGCAGGATTTAATTCCTACATTCTGCATTTGATTCCTTCTCTGTTAATTTCAGTTGTTTTAATGTCATTTTGTTTAAGTAAATGTGATACCAATAATCACAAATGATCTTTTCATTTCCATGTGAAATGAATAGGGTTCTCTCGTGGCAACTGCCGAGAATAACATTTTCAAAGTGTTGCTGCTGAACTAATTTCGGCAGTGACATTTTGACCTAAAATCAAACTGAAGGTAACTTGACAATTGAATCAGTGAGAACGAAAACACACCAACTCGGTAACTCAAAAATGCTCAATTTTCATTAAAGAGAGTCAGTTTTCATTAAGGTCATTGAAGTTAACGCATGTGTTCCAACTTGGACCTTTAAAGTGTCCTCAAGTACTTGTCTTACGGCACAAAAAATCTTTTTCTTGTGCTAACTCTTCAACTACTGCGCAGTTTTGTGTGTGTTTTGATTATTTTCTTTTTTTTTGAGTAGGTGCGTTTTCGTTCTCAGTGATTCAATTATTTCCTAACAATTCAAAATTTCCTGACATTTCCTGGGATGATTGTAGCAACGCTGCTTGAAACTTCAGAGTTATAATTCATGAATATAAGAAAAATAGTTCACTATCTCAGGTCGCAAAAATGAAATCTGGCAGGGAAAAAAGTGGAATTTCTAAAATGAGAGTGAATGTGTAAATAATTTATTTCATATCCAAAACAGAGAGAAATCCTGTAAAAAAAGAATATTGCACTACCTATTGATTTGCAATTTATTCAAGTCATCTCTTTCTAAAATCACAATGCTCCTTACGAGGAAGCAAAGAAAAAGAGCACAGAATTTAGATGATCGAAGGTTCTTCGAGATTTGATACAAAATTTGTACGTGTGCTAACACGGCCACAACAGAAAAATAGTGCCAAAATATAAAAACGATTCATGAAGTGTGAAATACCTCCACGCAATTTACATATATTCTGTCTATTTGGTTGGAGAAATATACATGATCGACTAGAACATGCAGTCGGGTTGGTGAATCAATCACAACAAAGCCCTGAAAATATGATTAGAATAATTAACAAAAAAATTCACACAAACAAAATACTTAGAATAAAATACAATTTTTAGGCAGGGAGAGTAGTCTCCCGATTGGCCTTGATGAAAATATAAAGAAAATTCTGGTTACTTGCGACTTAACAGACACTGGAACACTTTCCAACAGTAAAGCGACAGAAAATGTTAAAATGGGGCATCTAAGAATTATCATTAAACGTAAAAATCTATAAAATTAACGCTCCTTCACAGCTTTTGAGATTCGGGAGATTCCTATCCACTGCTGCGGCATCCTTTACATTGTATCTTTGGTTGGTGTTCATAACAATATTGCATCACTTTATAAAGATACATCTGGGAATGAATGATTTCACAAAATAACCTCACATGCCAAACAGACTCCGTGTTTATGCTATTAAGTGAGTCCTTGGATATTTTAAAAAAGACATGTTGACTTCCCATCAGGCAAAAAGTAATATATCGATGATGAAACTGCAGGAATACGTATGTCGGTTGCTGTGCCCCTAAATCTCCTCTCCTGTTCTATATTCTAAATGAAGACCGTTTTAACATTATGGCTTGAAATTTTCACTTAATGTAGTATTCTCTACATAAAGATAGAAGAAAAATCACAAAAGTTTTAAAAAAATGACCTTTACGTAGAAAGTCTGCAACGCTCCAAACCAAGGTACACATCTCTGCAGTTCACCATCGATCTGCTTTTAAACTATCTTATTTGGATGTATTGACGGTGAGACCACCAGACCATGTATCTCGTTGTATCTCCGTTTACGATATTACAGACTTCCTGTCAAAATCCATTTTTCAAATGGAAAGCAACTGAACGTCAATTCTCATAAACTTTCATGATTTTTCTTTTCCGTGCGAAGAAAAAGTTGAGAAAATTCCAAGGAATAATATTGATTTGTTCTCTTTGCGAAAAATAAAGGTGGAACAGAGATTTTTAAACATTGCAAACGAAACACGTGGTCTCGTAGTTTCTCCGTTTATCTTGCCACACACATACTATTTTTTCACATCATTGTCTGCATAAGAAAATAACATGATTTAGTTAAGCATATTGATTGCTTAGCATTAGCAGCAACACCTAAAGGACGAAATTGCTTATGAATATGTAAAACGATGTAAGAAACAAGAAATTAGCAATTCACAAAAAGCTCTTCATAATATTCAACACACGTACACATAGGGAAAATATGGAAGCATTTAGAATCAAGAGGCTGCAATTTTAAATTAAACCTATTGGGATTTTGATTAAAAATCGTCGTTGACAAATTTTCAAGTGAGAGATTCTCATACAAGCGTTGCAGAGAGGCACCTCACCAGTGAACTTGAGCATGATAATAAGGAGTGTATCGATGGCCGAAGTGCCGAACCACGTATTTCTTGCGGCGTTGCAGAGTTCAAGCTAAAAAGTCAGCGTTGTTTTTCTCGGAAAGACTAAAATAGGAGTGGAAATTTTGAAACACCGCAATTAATTTACATGGTTTCGCACTCGCGCCATCGATAAAACACCGAGTTTCATAATAAAACAATTGTGGTGAGCTCTACCTTCATTCTTCCTTTAAACAATCTATTTAATACTGGATTATTTTGCTATGTTCGTTTAAAACTTCTAAACCTTGAAGAGAAACAAAATGACAGGGCTATCTAGGAAGTTGAACTTTCTGATGGTGATGACTAACAATAAAACTTGCTTCAACAGCAACAAAAAAGTAAAGAAAAAAAAATTGGTGGCACTTTTTTTACCTCATATTTCAGAAACACGCAGGCAAGATTACTAAATAGATGTGACGATATTTTATCACTTGTAAATGAGGTAAGCTTCCTTTGTAGTCTTCATGCATTTTGACAGAAAGGAAGTAATTGTATCTGCTACTTCCAAAGCAATATATAATACAAGACCGAAGAAAAAAATGAAAATGATCATAGCTTAAAAATTTAAAAAAAAAATTGGAATGGTTCATAAATGCCTCAGGAGTGCAGAAAATCTCCATTTCTGCAAATTTTAGCAGACGCTGGATGTCTTCAAGTACATGAAAATTAATTTTTAGAGGAAACCATGGGCTCAGAAAACTAAAAATTTGAATTTTTTTGGGTAGCTTGATTATTTATCCTATGATCATGAGGACGAAGGGTAAATTAGCTTGACGGAAGCAAACCGTCTAATTATTTTTTTCATTATTTTATTTTTTCTTAGGGAACATTTTGCACTTCTGAAAAGCTAAAAGCTGACACTTAAAGCTGCTTTAGTTATACTCCTTGGAAAAATAAAAACAAATTGCTGGCATTTTTGTAGGTAACAGAGCTACATACAAATGGTGAAACTGCAGAGACGTGTATCTTGGTTTGAGATGTTGCAGATTTTCTGTCTTACCTTCTTTTTAAAAGTGAAAAATACTCGACGTTATTCCTTGAAAATTTTACTGATTACTCTAATCTGTGTGATGGATATTCTGTGAAAATTTCAAGCAATAGCTGGTTTGTTCTCCTTTTGTAAAATAAAATGGGAGCAGAGATTTTGAAACACTCCAAATGAAATACGCGTTCCTGCAGTTTCAACACTGATATCCCAACATTTTGATATTGCTTCACAAGTAAAACAGTAATCAGAACTTGTAAATCGCACTTTTTTTCTTTATTACTTCATTTTTGGATAACTTTGAATTTATGAAGTTGAAAAAGAAAGACTAACATAGCTCACATGACTACCTATGATCTGCTAAAAGATCGCTTGTCAAAAACACAAAATTTCTTATTTGGCTCCATTAAACAGAAAAAAAAGAAAGGTGACAGATTTAGAAAATGGGCAGCTATATCAGGTCAAAATTGTGAAGCCTCCTCTTAGCAAAATTGAAACTGAGGTCAAAAACATTACATAAAAATTATAAACATTTAAAAACACACTTATTAATAAATATCACATTAATGGGCTTTGCCAATTTCCATTTTAACAAAGACTTTGCTAGATCTGTACAGAAGGGTATCCATCAGCATGAACGTGAAGTACACACCACTTATTATGCAGCATATTTCTGTGCACAGATGTCCCAGGGATCTGAAACAAAATGATCGAAAGTAAGTAAGATGACAGCAAAAATTTCAAAATAGGTGTATAAGTGCAAAACCTAAATTAACGCAAAACGAAACAAAACAAATGAGAAACCGAGGCAACACACTGTGAGCTAATCAATGAAATAGAGAAAACCGGAAATTAAAATCACTCAAACTCAAGTGCCTCTGTGAATTAAGAGCTGATGATGACAGCAGGAGGCCATCAAATAAATCGTTCTAATGTTTAAATAGAGCTCCAAAATCTTAGAGGTTTTTGAAACATCAAAAAATTTCTCAGGTAGACTTAATATGATTTCTTTGTTTTTTACTCCTGATACAGCAGTTTAATGAAAACAAATCTGAGAGATAAATATTAAAAAATGCAATGAAGATGAATACTCACTTTGATTCATCACTTATTTTAACCATGAGAGGTGACAGTTCATAGGAGAAAAATATCCCCGGCATTCCTGATTCGCCGGAGTACTGGGAGATGACCTGTAACAAAAATTGTTCCTTCACTGACAAATTCTTTTGTTACCATAAACACAAGTAGATAATCCTCCTTGGAAGACATTTTTTCCAAGTATTCGTAGGGAGATGTATATTGTGCATATACTGGGAGACTTTCGATCTCTGATATTGTTTCATTGCAGAAAAAACTCGTCCAAGTTATAGATAGAGAAAAAATTCTGACGAATACCTACGCTGCATTTTTTGACTGAATAAAATCGGAAAACTGGTGTGGTTTATCAGAGGTGCTTGCAGAGAAGGCAGCAAAAGATATGAATAATTTTAAAAAATGAAAATTTACATAAAAGGAAAGGCAGTATTTGTGATCCGATCCTTCTTGTATTGCAGAAGAGGTAATGAGTGTATTCCCCATGTGCATCCAATCAGAGCAGCTGGAACATCTCTCGCATAATAATAGAGAACGAGATCTGACAAGGGGAGGCTACCGATTGTCCACCTCAGATCGGGTTCAAATTTGGCAGAGAGGTAGAATAGGTTAATATAAGAAACCGTATTTTTTTTTAGGTGCCAATGCCCAGCCGTTTTTGAGTTATGAATTTTTGAAGTTGCCGTTTTTTCGTGTCAGCGACGCGCTCAAGTTGAGCCTACTGTGCGCGCATCTTTTAATGCAATCCGAGTGTCCCGACGTTCAAGAGAGACGATTGCCCAAGCGGTAGCGCGCTCGCCTACGGTGCTGCATGTTCAGGGTTCGATACTACTTCCGTGAATTAAATTTTTGCAATTGATTATTTTGTTTTTTAATCGCCTCATCACAGCAAATTGCAAGTCACCTTGTAGACGTTGTGGTGCTGATTATATTTTTTTCCTTTTTTGTTACACACTCATTAAAAAAATAAAAAATACATAAAATTTAATTAGAATCAGATGCTAAAGCACCGCTTTAAAATAAAATTATTTTACTACTACTATAACGTCTACAAGGTGACTTACAATTTGTTGTGATGAAGCCATTAAAAAACAAAATAATCAATTGCAAAATTGTAATTAACTAAAGTAATATCGAACCCCGAACCTGCAGCACCGTAGGCGAGCGCGCTACCGTTTGGGCAACGGTCTCACTTGAACGTCGGGACACTCGGATCGCATTAAAAGATGCGCGCACAGTAGGCTCAACTTGAGCGCGTCGCTGACACGAAAAAACGGCAACTTCAAAAATTCATAACTCAAAAACGGCTGGGCATTGGCACCTAAAAAAACATACGGTCCCTTATATTAACCTATTCTACCTCTCTGCCAAATTTGAACCCGATCTGAGGTGGACAATCGGTAGCCTCCCCTTGTGAGATGTACCAATATGAAAATTTTCTTGGTTCATAAAGAATCTTAAAGACAAAGGATTGAAAGGTTGGAGAGCTTTTTGTTGAGTTGTAGGGACGAGGTTAAAATCCAAAATTTGAGAATATGATGAAAAATTTTGCAGTGGCTACGAATCTTTTTCCTTCACATTTTTAGAAATAAAACTGTGTTTGAGAGATAAAAGAGCCTAAAGGTACAAAAGACTGGTTTACATTGCTTGGGTTATAGTGATAAGAAGCGGGTAATTTAAGCGTAGAAAAAGTAAAATTTAAAGATTTTAGTTCTGCACTGAAATCATCATTACCTTAACATGTTTGGTCACCGAGAATTGATTGGTGTAAAATAAACTGCCATCACTTCTTTGATATAATGTAGGAACTATTTTAATATAATTCTGGAACATTGTAGAACCTGGAAAGAAATCAGATAACATTTAAGAATAAATTGTTTTGACCGTATAAAGAGACTGCAGGTAAAACAAATGGATGAGAACTAACGTTTTGGTTCCCTCCCAGAATGAAAAAATACAAAACAGTCACGGTTTGACGCATGGCCTTTCTTGAGTGCAATTATGCACTGAACAGAATATATCTTTGAGGGAAAGCGTTATATGAGTGAGCTTTTTTCCATTATGATGAGACTTTCGTCTACATGTTGGATTTTGACAGACATTGGCGAAATCACCAACTCTCACAAATAAAAAAATTATAATCAATTAGATTTACACATCTTTACTTTAATTTTTTTTACTCTCAGTAAATTATATGTTCTTTTTCTTCTTCTTTAGGACAATTTTTAAATAAAGTACATTGAATTGTATTTTAGACGCAATGTTTTATTTATAGAATCAGTTCACACAGTAAAATAAAAAGCTTCCTTGGGTATTTTTTTCACATTATTACAAGCAAAAATATTCAAAAAAAGGTATAAAAGTGTGCTTTATCAAAAAATTGCTCATGGTGCTTCTTGGTGCTAATCAGATGAACCTAACAAGTTAGGGTAAATATTACTATTGTAGCGTTATTCCTCCTTAAACATCTCACTGCAACAATGCTAAACCTTGAAAAAAGATGAATACCTTACCTTTCTCTGCAATATTTTCTGTTCCATCTAATGGGTTCGTTGTGCTTCCAGGCACTCCATCAACTTTCTGCCCAAATGAGAGATGCCTTATACGATGTGTCGTATTGAATGAAGATGATGAGAAAGGCTGTACATCATGAACTGTGGACAGAAACAAGCATATCATAAAGAGAAGAAATGAAATTAGATAACAGTAATGTTCCGATTACCCAGCAATTTCTAGCAGAGGCTGCGGCTGATATCCAAAAAGTCAATCGGAACCACCAAAAAAATACTGAAAAAAATCCTTTCTATGCTCTGTTTGTAAGAGAGTAGACAACCTGGCCAATTTCCTTTTGAATTTGTAAGCCATTAATTGAAAAAGACTAAAAACCGCACTTGTACAATCAATTTTTGCTCAAAAACCGGATTTCGCCATGTCAACTGACTTACTAGAGACTAAAAACTCAATTTTGAGTGCATCAGATAATCATTGGTCAGGTAATTGGTGGTTAGATATTCTTGGTATCAATGTAATTACCTAAATTCCCAGTTGAGGGGATTTTATGTTTTTGGAAAACTAGGGTTGATATTCCAATATTATTATTAACCAGTGACAAATACACCAATGCAACAGGACAATGCTTATTTCCTTACCATGAACATGATTGATTGAAAAACTCTCTCCAGGTGCTATGTGGAATCCACCGCTTACCTGAAAAAAAAAATAAGTTCCATTGATACACAGGCAATTCTTACCATTGTTGCAGAAAAAGAAAAAACTTGGTTTTAGCATAGGGAATGACTTCTGCAAAAGATGTTAATCCACAGATAAGCTGTCACCAGATTCTTTTCAAAGTCAATTTAAAGTCAAGCAAAGTTTAAGAGTGTATTGTGAATGCAAGGTACCTCAATTTTCAGCATAGTTAGATACATTTTGGGGCTAATTAGAGATATCAAAAGTTGCTGATTTTTGCCAAATAAATTTGTATTCCAGGGAGTGGCCCGCAAAAAAAATGCTAGTACGCAAATAGGTTACTTGATACACAGTGATCAGTTGGTCGATGTGATCTTACAAATATTAATGTAAAACTACTGAGGTACATATTGTAAAAATTGAGATACTTACACGGTTGACTTCCATGAATCCAAAAATTTGACATCCTTCATTGAACGCATTTTTTGATTTATTCGACTTTTTATCATGTTTGCATTGCTCAATGGTTGAGAGATCTGAAATGGCCCATGATCTTTTCCTGTACGCCTCTTTCACTTCTTCACAAGTGTTGCAGCATCTAAAAATAAAATATTATACTGCAATTGAATCCGACAATTTCAGTACCCCATTCGAGACCTTGTAAGTAGAGGAATTTAATTTCACCTGGGTGCCTTTCATGGGAGTTAATGACATCAAAAGCAAAAATGAATACATTAAAATACAAGTCTTTACTGAGAGTAAATCACTTGTGGTCTTTTGAAAGAGTATGAATGTTTTACACTAAAGAAGGAGCATATGAAGATAACAAAAAGAAAGAGAAGAAAAAAATTTACAAAACAATTTTGAAAGAAGACTTATCTGAGATAATAAACTATTTGTGACTTGAGTTAGATGAAGAAATAGTTTAGACTTATGGGAAATGATGAACTGATAGCGTCAAGTCAAAGCTGATTAAAATCAAACAGATTATTGATCACCACGGCTTGTTTGATATTTTCAAATGTCATGAAGAAACACTATTATAACGTTTTGATAGGAGAGTTCCAATTTCCAAATTTCAATTTTCACCAACAAAACTGTCACCAAAGATGGGTAAAAATTGTTTCACAAATGATGGGTCCAATTAAAATCAAAATAAAATAAAGAATTATAAAAACAAAAACTACTTATGACCTCTAACCTTTAATTACCCTTGCTAAATTTTCAAGAAAAAACCTATGGTTGAGAATCATTTGATTCAGTTTTCCCAGTGAAAAAAGATGAAATCTATATGTTCACTTACTGTCCAGCAAAGCCTGCTCCATAACACGAACCACATTTGTCTTTGGTATCAACGGCTGTTTCATTTGAGCTATCTTCAGTTTTTGAGACATTCTGGAAAAAAAAATGAAAAATTCAGATAATTTTCAATCTGAAGGCTTTATCTTCCAAAATTACAATTTTCAGAATAATTGCAGCAAAAATGGTAAAAATTTCATTAAAAAGATATGCAGGGATTAACAACAATGATACCGTAATCGATATTATTTTGAAAAAAGTAATTTTTCTTTCCCCTCCCCCTCTTACCTTTAATGATTATCCAGTAAAAACTACTAACACTATAAGCTACAAGGAATGTGAAAAAGAAAAAGAGATCGAAGAAAATATTTAACTTACCACTTTAGAATACAGTTTTTGTATGGACTTTCCGCCAACATCTAAGAAGTAAAACAAAAAAGTGAGTTTGTAAAGATAGCAATGAAAGTAAAATTATCAGCCATACGGACAAAAAACAAAGGATTAGAAACCATAGAAGAAAGGCATAAGGGCTTTTAATCATAGAGTTTATGGAGACAAAAGTTGCTGATCATCAGATAATTTTCTATTGACTTTCATCAGTGATTTCAAGTTCTAGCTGTTAAAATTAAAAGAATTAGCTCAGAAGAAGCAAGTTTAAACGCACATTTCGGAAGGAATCTTGAGGAAAGAAGGGTAGTTTTCAAGACAATGATTCTCATCACTGTAACAAATTACATCAATTAATCTTTTGAATCAAATTTATTTTCCTTCTGATGACTGAAAGTTCTCATACTTATTATCAAATTGTTCCATTCAATAGTTTCTATGCATATACATATTTACTGAAATAGAAGCAACAACTCACTTTCTTTCTGCGGCTCAGCAATGGGTTTTCCTGAGAGATCAAGTCTCCTCTTTGAAATGTTATGATCAATTTGGAGGTGTTGCTCTCCTGATGAATCCACGGCATCCAAAGCAAGATCTGCAATAAAATAAAAAATTATACAAATGTCAAGATCTAAACTGAATTTTACATTAATTATTAGCATTGCAGCTACTCAAATGTCAGTTAATTTTTTGTTTCATATTTTTATTCCAAAAATAAAATCAGTTTTTCTCTTTACTTCATAAAGATTTTCAATTGGAACACTCTTTGGTGTCACATTGGCATGCCCTTTAGTTTAAACTATTTACTTTGATTATCTTAACCCATATGAATCAAGAAATTCAAAGTCTTTGGTAAAATACTTTAGGTCAATTTGTAGAACCAAAGAGGATTGAAAAGTTCATCAGAGTATTATGAAACCGGTTGGAATATTTTGCTGAGTATAGAAACAGGGGGTTGATGTAGACTCGAATTTACTTCAAAGGTATCAAGGAGCTATACAATGTTGAAAAACACACAAGTGTGTTCATTTGGACCTTTGGTCCTACGATACCAATGGGGGGCTTCTTGTCCTACGATACAAATTGTGTTGCAGACAACACAACATTGTGTTCAGGATCCCTGAGTTGTTGTTACACATGCTGATTAGAACACTGAAGCATCTGCAGAAAACACGCGGGTGTGTTTTTGTATGTCCAAATGTTCAACAAAACACACCGGCATGTTCATAGAAAATTTTTTTTGGCATTGCATGGAAAATTCTGTCCCAATTGAAAGTGGCATCATACATATTTTTCTTCATTTCCACAAGAAAGAGTATGCACACAAGAAAATGCCAGATTTTCTGATTCACTGACCAATTTATTAATCTTTGATAGATCAGCTTCTCAATTCTGAAAATTAGTGTAAATGACTGATAATCAAATTTATTCTAAAATTTACCTTTACTCACCAAAGTTTCTGCTCTAGTGGCTCAATTTCACAGAACACCTTAGTCAATTAGTACCTACATAAAATGATACTTACAATCACAGGATATAGAAGGAACAACTATGTCGAGATTGATTTGTAATTTTGAGTCTCTTGATGTGTCCACAAAAATTTCCTCAACCGTTGAATTCCTGCTATATTCGATGCACTCCAACAAGACTAGCCAGAATATTATCACCCAGCAAGCAATGGTGACTGTGGGATAAGAAATAATGAAATTAGAATATTGCAATACCTACATCTACAAACTATTAGTGTGAGTTTTAACATTGATAATGCATTTAAGTCTGAGCAAAACCAATAATTGACAGCGTAAGTCCGTAATCACATATCTCGTTTGCAGTGTCTGAAAATCCCCGCCTCTTTGTTATTGTTTAAAAGGAGAACAAATTGACATCATTCCTTGAAGTTTGCGCAGAATTTTTTTGCACAGAGAAGAAAAATTACGGCAGTTTTAAAAAAATTGCCATTGAGTAGTTTTCTATTTGAAAAATAAAGTATGACAGGAAGTCTGCGACGTCACAATCCGAGTTGTGTGATTGCTGACTTGCACCGCCATAATACCCTTTAACCAATGTTGTCCTCCCTAGGTCCAGAATGTCAAAATTTCAAACTTGTATTTACAAAGTAAACCTACTCCAAGACTGAGTAGCCAAAGGCACTTTGCCTCAGCGTTAGAGGCTTACTAAAGAAGCCTAATAGAACACTGAAGAGGTGGTTCAACAACTAGAGAGACAGCAGTACTTGCAGTAAAGATTTAAAATATTGAGGACTAAGTAACTGAGTAGAGAAGAATGCAGACTACGATATTGTTTCGGTTGAAGTTGATTTACACTTCACATATCTTCAGACCAGAGGCGGTTAGGCAGGCAGGAGAAAAAGGAAAAATCCCAGCAGGGTGGTTGATACTGAGGATAATTTTGAACCACAGTGTCTCTTCATTTAGAAAGAAGACAACTAAGTAAAATTGCCCGGTCTAAGCACTTAGAGGCCAATGTTCCATGTTGATTTTATATTCCCAGTCCGCCCCTGCTTCAGACTTGAGTTCAACTCCAAGCGCTTACAGTGAAAACTGCGGAGGGGATACAAACGATAACTGGAGGTGTTGGTATAGTTATCAGTAAAAGAGATTCATAGATAGTGAAGGCGGCTAATGTTTACATGTCTGCAACGCTAATCCAAGTTCCTGATGTTATCAACTGGAGTTTCGTCAGCTGTGCTTCAGAAAATACAGATTTTGAAACATTTTAATGGACGCAAAAATTGTCGCATAAGCACGTAAATCAAGTGGCTTACCGGCACCTCCATAGATAGTCTTTTCTTGGAAGTCCTCAAGTGGTTTGGAGAAGGCATCAAACTTTTTCAGCTTGTTGAAGTAAGAGAGAACGCCATTCGACTGCCATTGCATGTTTAATGAGATTAAAAATCAGAGAGGGGAATTTTCAGAAGAAAACTGAGTAAATGACACATCGACAACTCTTATCACAGTAAAAAATTTTAATTTATTTGAGGGGGGAGATAAATTTACGAGCAGCGCATACGTGCCGAAAGTTTACAGAGGTTAGAAATTTGCTTACGTTGTTTTGTTTATACAGGTTTCCCCAAGCTTGCAACGAAAAATGCTCGGGGAGATTTCGGTGGGTCCTCTTTTTTAATTCATCACCAGTATCTCAAAAGATTCTACATATCATTTGATTTTATTTATTTAAAATTTGAATTGTCTTTGGTAAAATTACATCTCTTTTTATTAATTATCAACAAAAAACAATTTAAGGGAAAAAAGGAAAAAAATAAAAGATAGTTTTTTCCTCTAAAATTTGTGGTTGGCAATCATCGTCTTTTGCGCGGGTTTCGGCATCGCATCACACAGCCTATTTTCGTAAAGTTGATTGTGATGTGATCGTGAGCGTTTCGTTTGTGTTTTCTCCTAGAATTTTAAACTGCTTAACCGATTTTACCCGTTATAAACTATTGTAACTTAGTTTTTCACGTTTTCCATCTCTTGCGCTCTTGATTTTACTTCAGATTGATTACCTTTCCTCATTTCCAAGTGTTGTGCGAACTGTTTCTAACCGTCGATTTCAATGGTTTGTTGCCATGATGGAGGATGATGTGTTGTTAACTCCACCTTCAATATCCAAGCTTCAACACCGAAATAGTAACATCTTGTCTCCAATGAGTCCAAGAATTACCGATAGCCCAATGGATGGCTGGAGGATTAGACCCCACAAACTTTTCCAAGATGAAGAAGAGAACGTTGAAATTAGTCAGGGCAATCATCTCGATTCCTCCGGTGTGAAAGTTAATCTGTTCAGTGATAAATCCATGGACCATAGTCACTGCCCCAGTGTTATAATTGATTGCGATGGAAACGAAGAAGATGACACCGCAGGTAGGATTACACCGCCTACTCACAAAGCCAGTCTGGATTTGTTTTCACCCCCGTACAAGCGCGTCAAGCACCTCAAACTTTTCGACTCGTCCACACCCAACATGAATTCAACACCATCAAAGTATCATCCATCCTACTTGAGACCTGTCGATAGAATTTGTAGCCGTCTACAAGTGTCCGGTGTTAAATCGCTCAATGGTTCCTTCACCAATGTTACCCCGCTTCATACTTCCAGATCGAAACCAATCGGTGAAGCAACTCCAGTAACGGTCAATCCTTTCACTCCGGAAGGAATGGTTCAGTCATCTTTAAGGCGAGAAAGAATGTAAGTCTGTTATTCTTTTCATCTTTTTCCAATGCTACTCTGTAGTGATCCAATACTTTTCCTCCTGTATTTACATCTGATAGCTGTTATCATTAGGCTATTCTGGCTTCTCTATTTATAGTAAGGTGTAATTTCCTCCAGTTTACATCTCCTATTTTTATCTTGCTCATGCATTAATCTTTCAGCCATTTCCTCTCTTTAACCAGACCCAAGTTTTTTATTTAAACTCAAATTTGAACCAGAATGAGTCTTTTTATCAGTTGCACTGTTACAACCACCAAAACAAGTTTTTAAATGCCTGAATTTGATTGTGTTTGTTTTCTGAGACAGTTATTATATTTTAATAATTTGGAGAATAATTCTGTCGACACCCTTGTTTGAATTAAATTCTTCTTTTATTTTTCATTTTTTTTTAGCATGAATTTTCTTTGGAATTAATTGTGGGTGAATTGGATCCTCTTATTTTGACACTTGCATTATTAGTACTTCATTAAGTATGCATATTTTAAAAACAAGCCTGCCTCTCTTAAATTGTCTAACCCACAACTCCTGCTTCCCAACTGTCACTGATTCTGCTGCCTTGAATCCAAAAGGAAAGTTTAAGTTCAAGGCTATCTCTTATTATGTAATTAAATGTACACCTCTTCCATATTTCTATTTTCAGGTCCTTTTTCTTCATTCATTGTTTCCTTAAGCCTATGTTTGACTTTTTCCCACATTCATTTTTCATTATTTTCTGCTGATGTTAAAAAGCTTATCCACAATTTTCATTCGTATGATTGTTTTTTAGAAACATGACTCATCCTTAACCTTGAACTGGGAGAAGGTGAGGGCTGGGGGTGAGGCGGGGAGAGAGGGGGAGTCTCTCAATTAGGAAAGGCAGGTGTGGAGAAGACAAAACATGGTCTCCATCCTGCATCCTGTTGATGATTCATTTCTATTCTTGTCTCTTGCCTGTGGCCTCTTTTGTTTTGAGAGGCTGCTTTGGCCAAATTTAGATGACAATTTGAAACTGTTGGCTACCCGGTGAGAGGGATAACAATGCAGCAGCTGCCCTGAGGATTTGTTTATCCTCCTGCATTCCTCGAACCTGGCATCCTCCTACTGGCAGTTGGGACTTCAAATAATGCTTATTTTTTTCCCATCAATTTTCCCTTCCTACTATGTTCTCCTCCTCAGTTTGTTTTCCCTAGTAGCAACAACTGTTAGGAAAACTTCTTAAGAAACTCCTAATTTTAAAACTACAACTCTTTAAAAAACTGTTAAACTGTTTGTATGAGGAAACCCTTTTGGGCTATTTTTTGAGTCAAATTTACGAGCAGTAAAATTTAAGTAAAAATAGTTTTTAACAAAAAACTCTTGAAAAAATATCAATTGTAGTTCTTCAACCCCAAAAAATGTTTGAAAAAATGTTACCTAAAAACCTATAGGGATATTTTAAGAGTTTTTTAAACGCTTTTTTCGTAAAATTTAATTGAATTTTACTTCTCCTAAAATTTACTTTGAAAAAATAGCTTTGAAGGATTTCCTAATACAAAAATTTTAACAGATCGTCTATGAGTTTTTGAAAAATAATTTTAAGGGTTTCTTCCTTTTGTTTTTCTCCTTTAATGATCTAAATCAAGAGATAAGAACTGGAGATTATCGTTCAGCTCTGCTGAAAATAAGTAGATTTTCCACACCCAACTCATCTCTACAACAGTGCTAAAGAAGAACGCCGTTTGAGCCTTCAGACGTTGCCATATTTCCTTCGATAAAAAAAGAATTTACCAGGGAAATTGTGAATATTTTCCTACAAATTTGTCAGAAAATTGTCTTTGCTATTTAATCTAAAACATCTGAGAGTTGCGAGGAAAAACACATAATTTTCTGAAAAATACATGTTTTAACCGAGATAATTTAAATGGTAACCCTTGAATGTTCATACGGCATTCTTTCTTAGCTTGGTAGCATAAGTGTGCTCACCTTCTACTTGTTACATTTCATCTGGTAGGGTCTGTTTAAAGCGAGCACTTTCTCTTGATGATCTGGGGGCTAAACTTTTAAGACCCAGGTCATTTGAAAGCTTTACATTTGTCCAATTTAATGCTGTTTAAGTTAGCCTTTGGAATTTCTCTTTGCGGAGGAAAAATTGATATTGATTTATCATGGAAGCAATTCGGAATCATTTCAGAATGAATGTTAGATGATACAAATTTCGATGCATTTAGTTAAGGAATAAAAGACTGTCAAAGCCAGTTCAAAAAGTTGCTCATCATTATTGTAATTTAGAATTCGTGTGGCATCAAAAAGTCTCTGAATAAATTTGGATCCCATCGCAATTTTGGGTGCAGAAAATATTCAATCACGTGAGAACTCAGGCACGTTAAAGTATGAAAAGGGGGAAATATATTTCCAGGTGAAAAGTTCTTATTTTGTTAAAGATTCAAAATATGAGATTATCATCGTGGACAATCAGAGCAATCTTAAATTAACTTAAATTGAAACATGATTTCCCAGGAAGGGGGAAATCGTTTTTGACACAGAGCAAAAAAGCTATGGAGTGGGATTGTGAGAATGTGGTAGGTTGTGACCCTCTAAGCCCATGCTTGGCATAAGTTATACCAATAGTCATAAGATATTTCAGAATCTGTAACTTAATTACTGAAAATAAAAGTTATCAATCTCCTAGATTTTGGCATACATTGCTCATTCTTTGAGTTCAGAGCATTCTATGTGTTCATTGACTCGTCATACTGAATGTCTTTAAAATTCTTGAGTATTTTTTTGTTGTGGCTACATGAATTCTAATTCATGATGCGATGTACTTATTATTATTATTTGTGGGACCTCCGCCTCCTCCCCTGTTCCTCAGTTTTACTCTTCATGTTATCAATTCAAATCAGTGGATCTGTTGCAAACGTTAGCCGCATAAAAAGCAAAAATTGCCTCTCTTGGAATTCAGCTCAAAAATCAACTGGTTAATAAATGCATTGGCAAAATGCCAAATTCAATCCTAATCCCATAATCTGGGTAAAATAATTGCCTTTTTGAACATTCTTTAGCTTCCCATTTCGAAAAGTACAATATGGATGAGATGTATTTTGATATAGAGGTGTCGACCTGGTTGCATGATTTTGGATAAAACTTAAAATGACTGCTGTCACATGGTACCCTTCCTTTTGATTAAAGCCAAACATTAAAAGTATCTACTTATTCATACTTACGGCAATTCGCTGAGCAGGTAAATGTGGATGTTGCAACGGTGGCATTTGTTATGTTGTCTATCTTTAATTAAGGAATTAAATTACATGATTGACCACCATTTGAAGGCTTCTAAGGAATCTTCAAACTGGTGTGACTCATTTTTATCCAAGTTTGATTTTGCTGTACTTCACCTCTTAAAAGAAGAAATTAAAAAATTTGCACACTTTTTATGCTGATAAACTAGGAGTGAATTCCAAATTCTTGTTGGCTTAGCGCAATTTTTGAGCCATTTTCCAATTGAGGGAAAAAAGAAAACTTTTTGCTCAAGCTAAAACTTTCAACAAACCCTCTGAAATACTATGAATGATTGATTGATGAATCGGTTTTAAAAGTAACTTATTCATTTGATGCAAGGCTTATGTAGCAGATACAATGTAAGATTCTGATTTAAATAATCTCTCCATTCGTCGACTTTTGAGATTTTATCAAAGCTGTACTTAACTATAATCTGGCTTTCAACAATGGCTTATAATTCTTTCCCCTCTTTTTGTTCTAGGAAATCATTTAATGTGTCGAATGTTGGTCTTACCTCTGATACATCTGTGAAGATGGACGAGGAACCTCTTGCATCTCCAATTTGTGATAAATTATCTAATTCTCTGATTCAACTTGAAACAAGTAGATATCATGAGGTAAGACAGTGCAGTTTTTCAACTCAATGAGTCACATTACTGTGGAACTCATCACCGGTTTTCTTTCTTTTTTCCCTTTCAGGCACGAGTAAAATAAGGTATTAAAGGTATAAAAAATAAGGTACAAAGAGTCTGCGATTTATGTATTTAATAATACTGTCACTTTTAGTTAATAAACATAGAATATGGTTCACTGCTTAATAAATCATATGACTCGACCTTGAAAATATATCTTTAATTTCAGAGAAGAAAAGAGAAAATGATTGACGGATTTATAACCGCCTAGAATGAATTAAAGTCGATTTCAATTATTTGAATTTCACTCGTTTCACACTAAAGATATGCTACTTAGCTGAAATTTGTATCAAGTCACCTTTTGTAGGGCTTTTTTTTTCATGGAACGCTGTGAATTGGGTTACTTTTCTCCAGTTCAAAGCGATTTGCTTAAGGTTATGAGTACATGGACTTGGTCGACGATCATTTTGGAAATGAAATTTAAGCCGTAGATAGCAATTAAAAAGTAACACAGTCCATTGCAATCCTCTGCGGTTCAGATTAAAAAAGAAAGCTCTTATCTTGTGACTAATTTGGTTTTGTTTGTGCCTCAGATCAAGTCACGCGGTTTAATGTATCCTAATAAAAATTTATTTAGTTACTCCTTGTTGAGCCACTGAAAATTTAACATTTTTCGTTTCTTTTTCTTATTCATTCAGGAATTTTCCGAAGAGTGCCTGATTGGATCAGGTGATTTTGGTGAAGTCTTCAAATGTATCAATTTAATTGATGGAATGGAATATGCTGTGAAAAGGACAAATAAACCTGTCTCAGGAACAACGCAGGAGTAAGTGGAAATGTTTTTTTTTTACCTCCAGCTAACTAATTCATAGCTCCTTTGGGTGTTTTTAATGATTGTGTATTGTGTGAAGATTATGACTCAAGGGCCTCATCTTCTAGCTCCAACTAATGACAGTACTTGCCCAGAACTTAAAAAAGTACAATTTTTAACCACTTACTACTGATTCTGAAAGGCTTATTGGATAGTATGTAGCAGAAAGGAACCAGCGCAATCAGTGTTTCCAAGATGTGCAACATCTATTCTCCATAAATTTTAATTACATGTACAGTTTTACAATTTAAACAATGATTTCCCTTCAAAATCAACTCTTTTGTGGTTGAAAAGCATAAAAGATTTGCTATCCTTGGAAACTTTCGAAACAAAGATAAAAACTCAAAATTTTTACTTTACTGTAATCCCACTGGTTCCAATTAGGTACAGTATTTTGTATGTTGAATCGAAAGACAAAGATTAATGTGTTTCATAATTATATATAGTTTCAGTTAGTTAGTTATTATAATTTTAAGACATTCAGCGTCTCACATCAACTTTTATATGCACTTTTAATTATATACAGGGCAATATGAAGGTCTGGACCCTTTGTTAACTTTTGAACAACTGCACTTTGACATTCTAAAGTTTGGGTGTATTCTCCAAACAGAAAAGCAGTAAAACAGAGCTCTTATGAATTGAATAATGTACCCAAAACTCAAAATCTCCAAGCGCAACTGTTCAAAAGCTAATCGGGGGCTGCGAGGATCCAGCTTTTTGGATTACAACGTACATTTACCTTCTTCACAAAAAGAAGATATGATAAATAAATATATAATTATTATTATTATTTCTAGCACAGGATCTGGAGGTACTGATGATTTGATCCTCTTCAACTTCAATATTGTAAATTTGATGTATTTAATTCAACTTTTCTTACTTTTTTATCAATCACAGGAGACTCGCAAGACGAGAGGTATTTGCCCATGCTGCCATCGGTAGGAATCCCTACATCGTTGCGTATTTCTCCTCCTGGTGTGAGCTGGGGCATGTGTATTTGCAAACGGAGTACTGCAACGGTGGTAATCTAGAGCAACTCATTGCAGATACCACACACAAGTTTACAGAGAACGGCCTCAACAGGATTTTATTGCATGTTTCCAAAGGATTAAAGTAAGTTTTTCTTATTTGACCTTATGTTTTTTCCCCTGTTTTTCAAAATAATATTATATCCACCCCTTCTCTAACAGTTTGGTCATTGAAAGTTTGATGCATTTGTCAACCCATTCTGTCATTGTTAGGTTCCTCTCGGAAAGTAATCTCCACTGGTGAACAGCAACTTGGACAGTGTTTAGCAAAAGGGAGCCAGCTTTCTTGGAAGAGAGGTGGTCTGCTTCCTCAAAATTTGTCAGAATTTCATTTGTACTCTCATAGCGAACACATCAGCACACAGATGATTTCATCTTGTATTAGGTGTCAAGGAAACTGAATTTGGATTAATAATCAGTATTTATTCTGTTCCTTTCTGTTAATTAGAAAATAAGTTGAATGAAATTATTCAAAGAGAACCAAGTGATCTGTTTGTTGATTCTTTTGTGAGCGTCAATGATATGTAGGACTTGCGAGGAACAAAGTTCCAGTTAATTTGGATGATTTCTCTCGGAGATTTCTGTCAACCAACGTATTACATACGATTTTGTTTCCTGAAACATTCGGCTCCCTTGTGCGAAACACTGCTCTTTCATACCTTCTAGAGGACTTATTTTAGAAATTGTAAGTTCATCAGGGCAAGAAATCGTTGAGGTGACTTTTTCAAAACTCAAATTTGGGACATGGATGAAAGACCGAATGATCTTTACCATTCAGCAACCTGATATTGATTCAAGACAAAATGATTGACCTAAGTATAAGTAAGTGAGGATCAGTAAATCAATGCTGACACTAGAACTAATTTAATCCAGTGCTTACATCAACCATTGAAACTGATTATGTATCTCCTGGCTAGGGTTAAAGTTCTATTAAATTGGTTGTCATTCATTATGGCACAAAATGAAGCTCGATTTTTTGGGTTTTGCACAAACATGCTTATGATCGTTTTTTGTTTCAGACACATACATTCCAAAAAGTTGGCGCATCTTGACATCAAGCCTGCAAACATTCTAATTTGTCGAAACTCCAATGCCAATGTTTCATCCGATTCCTTTGAAGATATCGATGATGATGAAGTGGATAATTTGTCTGTGGTTTACAAAATTGGTAAGTTATTATGTTCCTCCTTGTTGTTGGTAATTCTAATATCATTGCGCTGTATGGCACTCCCCATCTTGAGTATTTTCTTTAACAGAAGAAAAGACCGCTCCATGTTAAGAATGAATTTTGCTTACAGCTAGATGTAGGGAGATCGGGTTCAGGGTGATTCTGCACTCTGTACCCCATAGCAAATTCTAAACTGTGTGATAAATACTGAGGATGGAAATTTCGGGTGGATAAAATATTTTTCCTTCAACTTTTGTATCATGTGTCTGTCCAGGCGAATGGTGTAAAAGTATAGAAATAAATCTATCTACAGGAGAGGTGAAGTACATGGAGTACAGTGAAACCCCCAATTTACATTTTTCAGGGAATGAGCATAAATTGTTATTTCAAGGTTCTCCTGGCGTAAAATAAAATTAACCCAAGTAACACTTATTTTCAAGGCAATGGGCCAATGGCAAGGAATTTTTGCAGGGTTGCTGTATAGTTTTTGTGAAAGAAAAATTTCATAAATTAACTGAAAAGTTGATTTAAAAGTTCCAAAAATATTTTTTGAAAGGGGAGAAATAATTAATCAAAATCTGACTAATCACAAGACGACAGCCGAGTTTTGATGTAGCAAGGTGATGCCTGAATATGAGTTCAGTCAATCAGCAAACATGTTTCATCCGCCTGGCTACGTCATCAGCGTCCACCAAAAATACCGTTTCAAAGGGGTCTCATTTTTAACATTTTCAAGACAAAAGTTTCTTCCAACAAAATCTGAACAAATTCTTAAAAGCTTTATTTACTCTGTACTTTCAGTAAATGAATTTATAAAATGAGTGGCACTGACCCATTTTATCATTCTCATGTTTTCGTCTCTTTTTTCCAGGCGATCTTGGACACGTCGCTGAACTGGAGGATCCCATTGATGTAGAAGATGGTGATTGTCGTTACCTTCCGAGAGAAATTTTACACAATAAGTATAATAATTTAGCTAAAGCGGATATCTTTGCCCTAGGTAAGGTCTCATCAATACTCTTATTTTTATTTCCTTGTCGTTGAATATTAAAATTAAATTTTCAGGCAGGAATGCCAAAAGTTCATAAGTGTAAGCTTTTATTGGCAAGACGCAAACTCTCCCCATTTTGGCTGAACCAATGAAATGTAACAATCAGTGTGATTGAAATAATTCGGCCAAAATTTGGGACGGCTGATGTATGGTTGACTAAAATTCCGTGTTGCTTTATGAGTTCTTACAGAACATCAGTGCGCTGCCGTAAACTTTTTTTATAAAACTGAGCATGAGCAAAATTCTTAGAAAATTTTGTAATTACCAATCATGAAAATAAATACATCAGAAGAGGGCTGGGGAATCAGCTTTTATTGATCAGACTAACTGACTTGCACTGAACAACGAAGATTGTAACATTTTTATAGGAGAAGCCTCTCACTAAATCTAGTTAAATAATTTTGCTACAAATTGATAACAAGATCTGATGTGAATACTTTCCTATCGTGAATGATATTTGCCCCTCTTTTCTTTATTGTCTAACTCCCTTTTCCGATCCTGAATATCATACCCATCTTATTCCTCCTAAATCTCTCTCTGAAGGTCCTTCTCCTGGAGATACTTATTGTCAGATAGTACATCTTCATCTTTTTCTGTTCTTAGGTTTGACACTGTACGAAGCTGGTGGCGGTGGACCACTCCCAAAGAACGGGCCGCAATGGCACAATCTACGTGATAACAAGTTACCGCCTTTACCTTCATATAGTCTAGATTTCAACAAATTATTGAAGGTATTTACGCCACTTTTAAGGACGTCTTTTAAAGCTTTTTGTAGGAATTAAGTGATTAGGCCTGGCTCTTAGTAAAGAGACAGAAAAGCCCAGCAAACATATATATTTTTCATACTCATCTTTCAAAATACGTGTTCACTGCCAAGCCATTTTGAGAATATCGTCAGTATGACAACTTCCCAGCAGCATGTATTGGTAAAACAGTCACACCATGCAATACTACCTGCAGACCTACAGCATTGGGCACAAAATAAGTGCAGTCAAGAGGCCACATTGGCAGCGCAGTAATCAGTTGTAATCATTGTCAGCAGGCTTTGCAATACTTTTGCATTATTGTCCAGCATATTAATTAAAAAGTGTGGAGTAGAAACAGATGAATAGTGTATTCATTAGTAATTGCAATGGAGCTTACTCCTTATTTAGTTTCACTCTTGTCTTTTTGGCAATGTTTTAATGATCGTTAATGTTTACTTTTTCAGAGTATGACAGATTCAGATCCAGAAAAACGACCCGATACCACTAGTCTCCTTAAATTGTTCCCGAATGCAGCTGACCTGAGAAGTGAACTGACATCATGGAAAATGAAGTCTGAATTTTACGCGCAACGAATGAAGGTAATGATCATTCCACTCCATAATTATGAACAAAATTTTAAAAAGTAAGGAGCCCATCCTCCGGCTGCTAAGTTATCGCACTCCTAGAAAGTGCGTTTTACCGCAATCTTGCAGGGTCATTTGCTCCTGCATATCTTTGTTTCGTCACTCGAAAAATAGACAAAAGCCTAAAAACCAATTTTACCTCTACATTGGTACCAGTATTTAAGTACTTTTCTGTTTTTTTAAAGCCATCACGCCGTGCTCTTCAATTGCAAGTCCCACTAGGACAATGAAAACCAATACCATTAATTACTCCAATTATATTTCGTCACTGATCCTGATCACACTACACAAATTTCTTAGAAGGTCTTTTTGTTGCCGAGAGCTGAAGCTAACTTTGGTTTGTCAAATTGTTATGTTGTGGTCGCATTGGGTGAAAGTATGTCAAAGTTTGTGTAAGGTAAGAAAAAAAAACAAGAAAATGGTAATGGAAAGCTAGGAATTTAAATGATGAGGTACCAGGAGACACCTTATCTGTATCCTCTGTTCGATTTTCTAAACTTCATAGTCTTAATTGTTCATTTGTCGCCATGAGAGCTACAAAGAAAGCCCATTTTATGCATCTAATCTAATAGTAGAATTTTAATGGCCGTGCTCATTTTTTGTAGACATTGTACTTACAACATATGTTGTAGCATTCCTATTTTCGGGGCTGAATAAAATTTAACAAAGAAACTTTTTTTGTATTCTTTAATTTTTGTATAACCATCCTTTCCATTTTATTTTTTGTATTAAATTAGTATGTGGCCGAATCCTCATTCTCTAATGTCAATTTTATTCTTTTTGTTTCTGATAATTGTTTGTTTTCTTCCAGAACACCACCAAATGCATCACCTCACTTCACAAGAAGCAACCGTACGATGAAATGGATCCCTCCTCCTTCATGAAGACACGATCTAAAGCTGGACACACAAGGATGGTAGGGAAGAAATCCAAACGGTCTTATAGTGTTCCTGACATGTAGGTTCTCCAATACAATTTTGAATTTTCGGTTGCTCCTAGAATTAATGGTGCCTTAATCGTAAGAAAGTGAAACTCCGGACAGCGGTATGTTCTGGATAATTTGGGTGTGTTCAGGTTGGTAGACTTGCTTTGAACTCTCCTACTTTAATTGATGGCTGTTTAAGAAACAAATCGCTGAACAGCCTAAGGACCTGAAATCGCTTAATTTTCCTATGGAAACTTTGCAGCTTGAATAAGTATAATCATAGCAGGGTTGCCACAGTCTGGAAATACAGGGAAATGTCCAAAAAAACGACGAAAGTGTCAAGAAAATATTGTTGAATACCCCCTATTTGCCTCCTAGAGTGGGTTGGACGTTTCAGATAACAAATTTTGTGTGGAGACTATTTTGCATTAGGTATGTTTTTTCTAAACGATCCTGCTTACCCTCAAATGTCACCAATTTCACCAAAACTTGTCCAGGGAATCTGGCAAATGGCAAGGAATTTTATTTATTAAATTCTGTGGCCACCCTACTGTGAATTGAATGATATTGCTATTTATAGGGTCACTCTGGATTGTAAATGGATGATTTTATATTTTATGATGGTTTTATTTCTAGAGGTGGAGAGTCACTGTGTTCTCGTGGAAATTGCATGTTTTTAATCCTTTAATTTTTATAAGCCAGCATACCGTCTCGTAATCAAAGAAATTTTGTGAATTGATCTAAGAAAATTTATTCTCCTTTTTCCGTGATGGGTAAAAATTGAAATCCAAGCATGTTGCAACGTGACCGAGTGTTGTTTGAGTTTTCCAAGAATTTTGATGTAATCCTTTAGTGAGCTTAATTTCTCAGGTCTGTCCGGAAAGGAACTAGTTTGCCCTAATCCTTCAGGCAAATCTTACAACTTGCACATTATTTCAATTCTGTTAGGGCAGATAACGATGTATTAAGGATTTTCTGGGCATACCCTTATTTCAAAATACTTTTAAACTGGGAATATAAGACAGAAATTTTCACAGTTAAAAGTAAATATCAGTTCAAAGTGTATGTTGTCTGTCGTTGTTGATTTTAAGGTCTCTAAAAATCTTAAATGGTCAAGAAAATTGTAGTTCTCTCAAGATGTTGCTAAAATATGTGAGCACATTGCTATCTACCATGGCAAACTATAGAATTTCTGTTCACTTTTGGATTTACCCTGATTCTATCGAACAGTTAGCCAGGGGTGCAGAAAGTTCCATGCCTTTTGTCGTGAAGATCATGATAAGAACAAAGCTTTTTTTCTCTTAAAATAGGACTTTTCCCCCTTAGAATCAATGCCAAAACATTGCTAAAAAACCGCAGCAAATAGAAAAAATTCTGATAGCCGCTTCACTATACTCACAAGGTCCCCCCCCCCCTCCATTTTCTGCACCCCTACGTCTTGTGACTCCCTAGTCACATTGCAGCTCGTTGTTTTTTCGTTCTTGCCCATTAACATTTCTTTAGCTGAAGTGTTCACACCAAGTTGAACATTGAGACATTACGGGAATAGAAACAAGTTCATTCTTTGTTCATGTGTCGGTCGATACTATTCAAATTATTTTGTGCCTTGAATCGGTGGTACCAATTTCACTATAGCGTTTTTATATATATTTATGTCTAAATGTGGTTTTCAATGAAATCTTACTAGAATGATGTCTTATTATCGGTTACTTTGTTGTTCTTTTAGCGTTTTACGTACTCTTAGTATCAGTCTTAGAAACTTAAACAATTTTGAAAAAAAAAGAAAGAAAGAAGAAAAAAAATTAATGTTCTCCACGAGCGCCCAGATTTCCCTGGGTGTGATAATGTATTAATTTTTTAGGCTTTATGCTCATAATTTGGATCACTTTACATTTGGACTACATTTTGCAATTTGGAACTATGAATTCTGGCCCAGTTTTAAAACAACGTATGTGCCATTAGTTTCCCTATGCACATAAGTGTTTTACCAGAAGAGCCAGAATTTATAGTTCCCAATTGTAAAATACAGTCCCCTTATTCTTTTATATAATTTTAGTGTCTGGCAAGTTGAATTTTAAATTTTATGTTTTTCTCCGATTGAAACCTGCCAGCCCTGAAAACTGTACTGTGTAGTTGAAACTGGAGGATAGATTACTGAAGTTGGCCTTTTGGCCTCCTAAAATGAAATTTTGAATGGGATGTTAAAACTATTGGCGTTGTATTTAAAGACGTTAAGAAGTTTCCAAAAACCAAGCTCATTCCAATAATAGAATGTCTTTTACGTTATAATGATCGTGTACCAATAGATGATGATTAAAAATTCAAATCGTACTCAAAATCTTCGACAACTCAGGATTTTGTCTCTTCAAAAAATTTTCAGCAGTAAAGTTTTTTTTTCCCCCCCTAATATTTCCGAAACTCACAATCTACTGTGGTCTTCGTTGTTCTGATTTTTTTTAAGGTAGAGTTTTGCCTTTTAGAAGAGCTTCATTTTTAAAAATAGCTGGCTTTTATTCGTGCTCAAACATACATGTTGAAACTAAGCAGTGTCAAACTTAAAGATTCATTTATATAGTGAAGGCAAACAAAGAAACTCTCCTGAAATATTTTTTAAACTATTGTAGGTTAAAAAATGCATATCTCATCAATCGTCAGCAATGAAAGAATTAGGGCTTCTCTGAAAATGATGGTAACTCGAAAATATTTATGTTGAGGAAAAAAGAATAAAATCAACAATTTCAATTTTATTTTTGGGTAATTTGTTGTTACTTTTCAAGTAATTTTTTGACAATCGAGGTTTTTATAAACCTCTATAGTAGCTAAAGTATGCATTTTTGGGAATGCAAACTGTCTCGTTGGTTTCAAGAAGTGCTTGTTGCTTTGTTGGAACACCTCGCATTTTATTAGAAGTTAAAAAATATAACCCTAATTTCAGTTCTCATGCTGTTTTGGAAATAAGTTTCGGAATAGAAAGGGAATAGAAAGTAGACTAATGCCGTCTGTGTTGTCGCATCATCGATTATGTTGCCGATAGTGATGCTTTTTTTCTTGACAATTGAAGCGTCCTTTTAAATGCTTGTACGTATATTTCTATGAAAAATATAAGTACGCAATGGGTTTTTTAGTGTCCAAAAGGATGCATTGAAAATGACTGTGTCAAAGCAAAACATCCTTTATCAATAGATATCACAGGATGATGAGCATCCGAAAAACCATCTTAACCTGAGGTCAGTAAGGAAATCGATATCCCAAAATAAAAAATCAATATTTTTTAATCTGTACTAATCTCATCAATGGAGTCTTATATTATTTGTTGCCATTACCATAATCAAAATCACAATGTGTTTTTACAATGTCTTCCATTGTGACTTCTATCCTCTCCGAAAAAACAAACAGCAAATCATCGCTCTAGCTCAAGAGAGTGATGGGGCTGATGGTTCTGGTAGTTTGTTAGTTAGAGAAGGTCCAACTGCGGCATCATAGCTCGAGGACATTTTTTCTCATGATGCTCTGTTGCAGCTGCTATGTTCATACCTGTCTTCTACTACCATGTTTTATTATGTACACATTCTGTAGGTATCTATGATGTGGCAGTTATTCTCGTCCCTAACTAACACCTTCTGTACTGAAGATTCAAATCCTTTATGGTTAATTTTATACTGGTCAATTACTTGAATGTATAATTGCTGCTTCTAATTTTTTATTAATGAGGACCTTCTCAAGAAGTTTCATTACCTGTTCTTGTGTCTTGCTAAGAAATCCATCAATGACCATACATTTTTTGTTTTTAATGGCTCATTTTCTTCTTCTTTCCCCCCCCCCTTTTTTTTTTCTCCTGGCACTGGAATATAGTACATTTTATTCAGCACTTGACTTGAACTTTATGAAGGCTCAAGTTGTAGAATAAAAAATCGGAGTTTGTTTTGTGGTTTTCGAATTCCAAAATTTACCAGTGCTTTCTTAATCTAATGTGTACATCATGATAGATTTCAACATCATCGAATTCCAGCCTTCCGTTTTGCTGATTGTTCGATAATCTCTTTCTTCCTGCTGATACTTGTTTAGCTTAGAAAAAAAATCTGTATGAACTGGTGAGTTGGATTAAGAGTCTTAACTACTGAATTAATTGTAAATGTATTAATACTATCGGTGATTTTTTTTTAACTAAGTTGATTTTTCACTGTCTTAGGAGCAAAATATTACATTAGATCTTGCAACAGGTATCTGGCCTGGCGTATGATAAAATGTTATTCATATTTTTGAAGTTTTTTTTTTAATTCACTCGTCCGGTTTTTTTTCCTTTTCCTTTATTTTCCAAGAAATAGGTATTCTTAGAAGAGATAAATATTTTCCGCATAACTTTCATAATTTGACTGCTAATTTAAGATTTACTGGTTTATCAAATCATGTGTTGTAAGTGTTATCAATCCTTTGTCGCATGGTTTTTTTTTTACTTTTTTTGTTTTGTTAAGTTAGAGCTGCTTCTACCACCTCTGGTTAAATCTGCTTAGTAATTGAGAAGGGGTCATCAGAAGTTCCGGAAGTCTGGAAAGTCAGGGAATTTATGGCATCCTGGAAAAGTTGGGGGATTCCTAGAGAAAGTAAGGGAATTTTGTGAAAGGTCAGTATAATTAAAAGGAAAAAATCCAAGTGGGAGTTTTGCTCAAAGGCCACAAAGATTCAGGGAATTCAAAAGTTTTGGAGTCGAGGAAAAGTAAAAAAAGTAGGGATTCAAAGAATGAAAGAATTTTGAAAATCCTGGGATTATCCTCCTTACAAAGAATAATCCTTCTCATCACCATTTGTCTGTCACATTTATCTTCCTTCTAAATTTGTACTATTTTTTTTTGAATACCAAAATCAAATTGCCGTACATAGGGGCGTATGTCCTTTCGAACTGCCTTTTACTCCATGCAAGAGTTAGTTGCAAATTAGCTTCGCAAGATGTTGCGATATGTCACTAACAATTTTTGAGAGGAACATGAGGAAAAGAAGTAATGCGCCCTCCAATGTTGCGCAATCTGAGACGAGGATTTTAAATAAACCTCTAGTTAATGCATTTGCGGAGCATGTGTCAGATACTTTCCAATATTTCCTTTTGTAAAACAAAGCTTAATCAGAAGTTCGAAGAAACAAGTTGTTGTAGAATATAACTTTTTGTCTGACCTAACTAACAAACGGTTTAACCAGAGGTGTTTGAACTCGGTTTTAGTTTGTCCTTCAACAGCAGCATTGAATGCGGTGTTGATCCTCAGTTTACTACATGATGTGATCGCTACTATGTGTGAGTGTTACTAATTCATAATGTTCCTGTTTCATGCGGAAGTTGCACTATTATTAGTCCAAACCCAACGAATTCACTACACTGAATTTTCTGTTTGCTTGAGGACCCATCGTTAGGCTTGGTGATAAGCAAATGTAGCATATTGAAAGCTTTAATTAAGTTATGGACCAAATAATCTTGATATTTTGCACCACTAAAGTTCCCAATACCTAACATTTTTTTAATCAGATGAGTAGTTGGCTGCAGGTCAGCATTTATTAATTTTTCAATCTGTTAGAACCAGGGATTATCACCCACTCACAGAAGTGATCACACATTTTTTGAATCATAACCATGTACCCATGTCCTATTTGTAATTGTTTATTACATTATCTTTAATTAAGATTTAAGTTGTTGTTAATCAAATTTAAATTTTCCTGTTAGTCTAGTCTCACTCTTGTTTATGCTCACGATGTGTTAACTTTAATCTCTGTTTCCTGGAAAAGGATGTCGGTTCAGTTAGAATTTTTCATGTATTCAATTAGGTACCTTGCAATTTGCATAATACCAAACTGAATTAACGAATGTGCATGGAAAATTCTCCTAATATTTTATGCATTGTAAACTGTGTATGCAGAATGTACCCTGTTGCCAGAAGTTCAATGTTGATGCTTGCTACTTTAATTTAAACCACCCTGTTACTAAAGTTGAAAGCATTATGCAGTCGTTAAAGTTCATGTGTCAAGAATTTGGAGAGAAAATCGACTTTAATATTTTAACCATTGTTTGTTGTCCTCATTTTTGTCTTCTGTGATGTAGAGTTATTCAAGGTTAAAATACTGCAAGAGTGTGATCCATGGTCAAAATAAGATTTTTTTTCTTCCATGAAATCTTTTCTGAAAGTGCTTCGAATTCAGTGCATCAAATTATGGTTGCATAACAATTTTTATGAGATTCTGCGCATTAAAAAAGTACTTTAGGAAGACATTTCACAGGAGAAAAAAGTCGCATTTGAACCCATGGGATACGCATCCCAGTCTGCAGTCTGGTGGGTTAACCTTGAATTACCCTGTAATTTGTTTTTTGTTACTGCTTACGATTTACTGAAGAGATCAGAAGAAAAGGATAGAGAGCATTGACTCTAAAAATCAGTAAATCCAGTACTGCTAATTTTGAAGTTGATTTTTTTTTCATTGGAAATCATTTCTCATCCAAATGTAGGAAAGAAGTATCAGTCAGTGATCAAATCTCATTTTTTGCCACAAGTATGCCATTTTCTATTTACAGTAATCATTTAATTCTCATGTAATTGCTTCAGCATCAGTAAATTTAGTGAATCAGAATCGATACAATGTACACGGAAGAGAATAATTTCCTCGTTGGTGCAAGTGTTATTTTTAACCTTTGAAAACTTGGAACTTATTGTCTTCTATCTTCCTTACTTAACTTGTTGACTGCCTCGGATTTTAGTAGAAATCACGGTGACTTAGTGCTTAAAAACAATGCACAGGAGAATTTCCTTACCGCAGGGACACAATAGCATGCTTTCTAGAATAATAACATGTAGTAAATTTTAGATCGACCAGTAGCCTGCCAATGGTGCTTTGCAGGAATTGAGATCTTCGAAACAAGGCCGATTATACATGCCAATCCGTATCGGATGGCAGTCAACAGGTTAAATCTTGTCACCTTTTTATAATCTAGTAGTGCTGAAAAGAAGTTTTTGGTCCAAGATCAATGCTTCTTAAAATCTGTGTTGAAGTCTTCTTGCACAGACCACCAGGCACTTCAATTGAGGAGTGATTTTTGCAAGTTGGCCACATTATATTTCGTATGAATGTATGAAATAGAATCGATATTTTTCTAAGCAGGCTACCTCATGCAGAATCAAGCTTTTTAGATGGGTTTAAGTAGGAGAAAAACAAATATCAACTTGTGACAATCACCTTTGCCTTGACTTCAATGGATAAACTGGTAGGCAGTCTTTTGGACCACTAAGCCTACCTTTTGAACATGTCGCCAAGCTGGAGGCAGTAATGACAGAAAAATGAACTGGTGATAACTGTATGACTCATTTATTTACTCACTTACCATCCATTAACTAATTAGTTTAATTTTAGCAGGTGATTTTTATACTTTGAAAACTAAAGTAAATTTAGGTGACTCCAGTGCTGCTTTGTATTTTTATTTTATTGAGAAAAAACTTGATTTTTCTTGCAAATTAGCTTATGAGGTGGATTTACATCAGAAGTAAACTAACATGTTGATACTAAACAAATTTTGCTATAATTTTGTCATCATTTTCAATGTTTAGCCTTAAATGATTTGATTAAGTCTATGAGTACATTTAAGCTATCTATCCCCGAAAAATGTTAAATTTAAGTCAATTTATCTAAGCGCAAAATACTGTGTTCCAATATTTTAGTCAAACAGGAAATGGCGCTTTTGAATGATAACTATTCCAATGTTGAAATTTTGAACATCTACAGCTAAAGTATGCCTTTAGCTTCAATCAATTGTTTCTCACTGTCCATCAAATCATACTTTTTTTGCAAAATTTGCTCAACATCTCAATGGTTAGTTATTTTTGGGATTGATGTACCGGAATACAGATTTTAATCTATGTTTCCTACTTATGCTTATTGTAGGAAGTAAATTCTGAGGACTCTTCGTGTCTCTCTCCAATGAAGACCAAGAATTGATTTTTGATACTTTTTTCTAGATTTCACTAATTTACCTAACCTCTCTAACTAGATTGTATAGTCACTGATATTAATCTTACTATCGAGCAATCATTTAAGACTGGTCGTTGGTAAATAACTCATAATTTTTCTCGAACTCGTTGTTTATCTCTAGAAGAAAATTTTACCTTAAGAATCAACTAGCTCCTATAGTAGCTTAGGAAATTGAATTTTCATTTTTCCCCCAATGTTTGAAAGAGAATGGTGTCATCCACCCCATTTTTTTGCATCTCTCTCAAATCTGTTCTTATGTTATGGCAGCCTAACAAAATGCAATTTTTGATGGTCTTTTTTTCTATTCTAGGCTTCTTTCAGCAAATTTAAGAATGTCCTTCAATTTTATCAGACTAATATTTTGAACTGGACAGTTCTCTCCTGATCAGGAAATGTTTAGCAACAAGATATTTCCAACATGAGAAAATATTTTATCTCATTTTTAATTGTCTGTTGTCCAGCCAAGTTTGAAGAGTTTTTCCAAAAGAAATCAGAATCCCAAATTTGCACCCAGATTTGGAAATGTAGGTATTTTTATTCCTAACGAATTTGATTTAACTAAGCTCCCAAACGTAACCACTCAATTTAGCTTCCACCTGTATATAGACCACTATTATTGTTAGTTCATGTCGTCTAATTATTACAGTTATTGTATTATTTTGTTACTTGTAAATTATTTATTCAATCATGTGTCAAATAAACACTGTTGGAACATTTTAATTTCTGCAATTTTTTCTTTCTATACTTCTTCGTCTCTCTGCAGGGTTGCCATAGTCAGAAAATACTGATACGTGTCAAGGAGTTTTATGGTCGGGGAGAACCTGGAAATGTCTGGGGAAAATTGTTAGATCACTTTTATTTGCCTCTTACAATGGATTTGAGTCTTCTAACGACAGATTCAGCATGAAATCTCTTACAAATCATGTATTTCTAACCATCTGGCATACCTTAAATTGACAGGGAAAGAGCCTCCCTAAAAAAGGGCCTCTTTTGGCCCCTTTTCGGGAACCCGGGGATTTCGTTCGTTTGTGGCTTAAATGAAACCTCATGATGAGGTAAGCCTCCAGTAAAAATTTTAGCTTGAGTATACGTCTAGTTTCCGAGATACAGCGTTGCAAAGTTGGCATATTTGAGCTTTAAAATTCTCATATTCTCAGGTATCTTATTTTCTCAGAACGATTCAATTGGATGTTTTATGATATTTTGTGACATTTTATGTTAGTATTATTATCGAATGCATATTTCAATTGAAACATTAATACTACTAATTCTGTTAAAACAACGTTGCAAAGTTGACATAAAAACCTATAAAAAATGTTCGTTTTATCAAGTTTCTTGACTTAAAAACGAACTTAAAGACGGCTAAAAGATATGCTTTTGGGGTTTAGATGCAATTTTATTATAGACTAAGGCTTTTGTTAAAATTTAACTCAAAATGCAAGTATAGTTTTAATGATACAGGGTTGCAAAGTTTATATATTTGAGCTTTAAAAATGTCTATATTTTTGAGTTCTGTGTTTAAGAAGCTACTTTTGTAGAATTTAATCACGATTTGAAGCAGGAAATCAACCATTTATGTCATCTGTAGATGAATGTTTGTATTTGAAGAAGAACTCTTTGACCGGTGGTGATACAGCGTTGCCATGCTTAAAACTTTGAACTCTGTATGGATTATGCTTTTTTCTTGTTGAACATGACTTCAATGGGTATCTTAACTCGTATTAAGGCAAAATATCAAGGGCTGATGTCAGTCCCAGGTAACGATTGGTTTTGGAAAAAATACTGCTGCCAAGTTTATTCATAATTCTTTTCAAACAAAAAATAATAAAATGATTTTAAAATAAAGATGCTTCTAATTTAATTTTTTTACTTTTTTTTATTTTGTTTAATTTTTTTTGGTAATTTGTTTAGACTTTTGTGATTTTTTTAGATTTATTTATGAATATCCGTGAAAATATTTTTTTCGATTGATACGTGAGTATAGTCTTGCCCTCAAATATATAGCAAGTACCTCAACATGTTGCCGATTTTTTACTTTTACCAAGTATCTCAATTATTTTGAGGCATCTAGATCAAAGATTTGTTTTCAACATGCTCTATACATATATGAGCTTGTTATGATTGGCACTGCCAAGACACTGCACCGTTGCGTATTGAGAAAATGCAACTTTTTTCCTGATATATTTCACTGGGAGATGGATGTATTTTTTATCAGAATGGAGGGGTCAGCGAACGCTACCAAGAATTTACATCCAGTGCCGAGATCATAATGTGAATGCTTAAATCCATTTTGAAATACTAGTATGAAACATGACAATAGCCTGGTCCTATTCTCTTCGGAATGCTGTCACTGTGACACAGAGGTCTTAATACTATGAGGACAACCCTCAACAAAAATGGAACTTTAACAACTTATTAATGAAAAAATAGTTAGTAGCTATGCCGAAATAATAATTTTTGACAAACCCATGCAACAATATTTTAATAATTTTAAGTATTTTATTCTTTTAATTTCTTTTTCTATAGATTTATTTATTTAATTTTTTTTTTAATTTTCTCATCATTTGTAATTCTTAAGTCGAAGATATTCTATTCTTTAAGGAACAATGAATGTATTGTCTGTATCAAGATTTATTTGTACTAAAAAAACTAGAGCGTTTCCATAGTTTATGTTCATTTTTGCATTCTGCCTAAAAAAAGAAAAATTGACAACCAAGGCAAGGTAGAATTTTTTAGATTTTGAAAGCAACACTGATGCTGAGCCATTCATTGTATGCCATAAATTCACTTGGATTACGTTTTAAAATCTGACAATTATTGGAAGTATCCTTATTTTAAACTTATTTTATAATGGAATGTTAATAGAAACTTAAATAAAATTGGCAACAGTGCCATTTAAATTCCAATTTTCACCTAGGATTGACAAAAGTCCTCCACATTTCTTTGTTTCACAATATCACTTTTCAACATTGTTCAATCTTGTCTTTAATAAAATAACACAAAATAGACATTTTCCCAGATACAAGTTGAAAACTTTGCAACACTGTATTATCGTATCCTTTTATAAATTAAACTATGCATCTACGAGTATCACTAATTGTTGATTCTATGCCCCAAAATACAGTTCGATCTTTAGTAATAGCGGTTTGTGAATGAGAAACTTTAAAAAATGAGCTTTTTAAAGCTGAAAAATGTAAACTTAGCAACGTTGTACTGCCAAAACAAGGCTTACGCATGAGTCAAAATTCTTACTGGAGACTTTTCATATTATAATTTATCGTGTGCACCTCGTGTAAGTATTGTAAAGTCATTTTTGAAGTTGGTTTTTGGAAGAAAATCCATAAAAATATGAGAATTTTAAAGCTCAAATATGCCAACTTTGCAACGCTGTATCTCGGAAACAAGACATATACTCAAGCTAAAATTTTTACTGGAGGCTTGCCTCATCATAAGGTTTCATTTAAGCCACATACGAATGAAATCCCCGGATTCCCGAAAAGGGGCCATTTTTAGGGAGGCTCTTTCAATATCTAAATTCTGTGGCAACTCTGCCAAGGGCTATCATTTTGTTTTGGTTATAAAATTCTCTGATGGAAAGAGGTTTCTGTCAAACAAAATAATCCAAATTATCGTACAAAATAACAGTTCAATTTATTAAAATATACAAAGGAATCATGTATTAAAACAATAAACATAAACTGTTTAGATGATACCGATCTTATTTGCTACGTCAAGTGCATCGTAGTCTGGAGCAAGACGGACATAGGCCTTCTTCTTGCCGTCAGGTCTGCAAAAAATAAAATTTATAAATGCATTAATTACAAATGTCAAGTATTTATGAAATTTTGATTATATGATTGGTAAAGCATATATTTTGTGTCAGTAAGATCACAATTTCTTGGAAACATTTTTCTTCCAGGGTTGAAAAAAAATTATTATAGGTAATTCATGAGGAGTTGTCGGATTTTTCTTGTCCTGCAGGGTGATCAGAAAGTCCTCCAACAAATAGAGTTCTTGCCTCTTTTCAGAGTGGTCCCTTCACAATTGGGGGTCTGAAAAGTTGTTTTTCTTTTTACCTTGAATCACTCACAAAATTTCAAGTCTCTATCTCAATTTGTGCAAAGGTAACAGGGTTGATGCTTGATTCTGGTAGTGCGGGGCTTTAGGATCACCATGTATGAAGAGAACATGGCAAGAATCTCGTTTAGAAGTTGTAATTGCTTTCATTGGCAGAAAAAATGAAAAACAATTGGAAGATGCTTAAAAATCTGACACAATTCTAGGTTCACAGAAAATTTTGAGTTGTCCGCACTAGGGAGATGAAACGATGAATCTGTTCATTTAGGTTTGTTGCGCTGCTAATTTTGCGTCACATGGGATTTTCTTTTGAAATATCGTTGCTGTGTAAAATCTTGTGAGATTTTCTTATTCAATTGCCACCTTAAGATTAGTCTTTGAAAACTGCGCACAAAAGTCCCTAAAAAATAAAATCGAGGCGGCAATAGTAAAACATCATGATCACGACACACGTTTTAATTGTCTCGCTAGGAATATTCCTCTATTATCTCTTTTGTTTTTTAATGGTCAAGAGGGAGGTTCTTATGCTCACCTGATCATAGTATTGACTTTGGAGATTTTGATGTCATACAATTTCTTCACAGCCGTTTTGATATGGTGTTTATTGGCCTTTAAGTGGACGATGAAAACTAAGGTGTTGTTGTCTTCAATTTTTTTCATTGCCGCTTCCGTGGTCAGTGGATACCTAATCGTGTTGAAGTGGTCCATCCTAAAAGCAAACAAAGATAAAATCAGATCTCAGGCAAATCAGAAAAATCCACCATCCTTTTTGATATAGGGTGAAGAGTAACTTTCATGAGATCAATTGAGAACTGAACAGGGATTACTTGAATGACTGATTGAATCACAGTTATCATTTAATACTGAATAGTCTAGACTCATTAATAGCAAATTGGATTTCATTATTCAAAATGATAAGTTAAAGCATTTTAGAGAAAGATCCTATTTCTCCTTCAATTCCGTGTGATACCACATACCTACTCTAGAGTTCGAATAGTTGCTCACTTGATTTCCACCTGCAAAAAAGTATGAAGTGACTCGAGTTTCATCTGAAAATCGCGCGAAGTGGGCGATATTTCCAACGGATTCGTTAAATCAAAAGGCATTACTCACTATTCATCTCTACATTGGAGGAAATGCGCAATTTTTCAAGGGATTTTGTAAAAAAAATTAGACGATCAACTCAATATCGCGGCAAATGCGCGATTTTTTCAACGGTTTTGTAAAACCATTAAAAGTTACGCATATTCACTTTGAGACCAGGAATTTCCCAACAGGTGATCAAGATAAATAGACACTCGACTTTCTTCTGAATATCGCGGAAAATACACGATTTTTATTTCGATGCACGCAAGTTGTACAGAAACATCGGTAAATTCGAATCAGCGAAAACCTATGATTTTCCAAGTTAGAAAGGATAAACAGACCTGTTACGACGGGGAACGGATCTCCTCGGGTATTTTGGGTTCCTAGGTGGCTTGAAGGTCTTGGGACGGTGGAAACTGACTGATGTCCTGATTTTTCGTGTGCGAGTTCCGTGCACACCCTTTGCAACCTGTAAAAATGAAAAAATAAATAATACAATGAATATGGGAGTACCATTGAGAAAAAATGAAGAAAACGAAAGAGAAACGAGAAGATTTAATCTGAAAATGTCTTCATATTTGTTAGAGTAAAACTAGGGATCATTTTTTTCTTTTCAATGTACTTAAACCATTCATCTTTCTGCCTGACATGTAATTATGACAATAAATGACCAATTATACAGGAATTAAATGGCTTGTTATAAAGTGAAAAGATACCTCTGATTATTTTAAAGGATCCTGTGTTTCCAGAAAAGAAGGGAGCTGGGCTAAGGTAAATTAGAAAAAAAGCAGTTGGCGGCAAGAAATGGAAAAAGAAATCAGGTGTCATTTGCCTGATGATCTGCGGGAAGAAGGATTCATTGACGATTGAAAGTTGTTGACTGTCCAAAAATTTGGAAACTTAAAAAGAAACACTATCCAGATGACCGTGAAAGGCAAAATCAAAAGATTCATGATTGTTTCCAAGGTTCCATAGGTTTATATTTTCATGGATTCTCTTTAGCTTTTATGCTGATGAGAGAATATTTAATATGATTAGAATTTTCAGATTATTTCAATGCAATTTTGCATTGATAAGAGAAGGATGAGAGAGAAAAAAAAAGAATTAAAAATGAAACTGACAGGAGTTTAAGCATGTTGATTCATAGAGATACAAGGCAATTGCCTTGCTGATAAAGGGTGTCTGAAGACTCAGCAGGAAAAAATTCCCTGACTTTTCCAAATGTTTTTCCTCTTTTCTCAGATATCAGAATTTGTCAAATTGCCTGTCTTTTCCAGAAGATTTCCTGATTCCCTTGACCTGATAAAATTCCCTTAGGTACAGTTTAAAAAACTCTACCTTTCCTTACTTTATCACTTGAAGGAACATCGTTTCGGAGGATCTATTGTCTTCCCCCCTAGATGGTGAAGGCGCAACTGCTTTAAGTTCACTGCTGCTGGGCAGTCGAGCTAGCACCGCTGATGCTGAAGAAGAGCAGCGAACCTTCCGAAACGACATTTGGTCAAATATTTCAGTGAGGAAAGTTGGAATTTTGTTTCAAATTTTTGATAGTGCTCATTTTCATTAAATTGATATTTTCCTACTTTATAGCTTTGTTTAATGATTGTTCCCTGGAAATTAGTAGACCTGTACTTAGGCACCCTGCTGATAAGGATTATAATAAGTGAGGGGCCGTTCATAAAGTGTGTAACACACTCTTACAGAATTTTTGACCCCTCTCTCCCTTGCAACGCTTTTCTGATGTAGGCCCCTATCCTTTAACACGTAAAAACAAAATGGCATAATGCTCTCCTCGACTTCCCTTCTTGAGCGTTACTTTATTTATGGACGGCTCCTAAAGCTAAAAATTCATCACAGAACAAAGATTTATTTTTGCACAGTGATTAGAGCACCAACCTTCTGTCCTGCTTTCTTGGCTTGCTCTACTGCAGCAACGGTCGTACCAGCTTTCCTGTACTTGTGTCCTCGCTTGTATTTGTCATGCTTCTTGGGAGCTTTCTTCTTGTCAAACTTCTTCTTCTTCTTTTCTCCCTCCTTCTTTTCTTTCTTTTCGCCATCTTTCAGAGGTTTCTTTTCCTTCTTTGCCTTTTCGGTCTTGTCTTTCTTTGAAGCTTCCTTCGTCAATGCCTTGACACCCTTGGTTGTTGCTGGTTTCTTTGCTGCAGCCTTCGAGTCAGCAACTTTCTTTGCAGGCTTGGCTGCCGCAGGCTTCTTCTCTACTTTCGCTGCTGGTTTAGCTGCGGCTTTCTTGTCTGCAGGTTTCTTTTCACCTTTAGCAGCTGGTTTTTTCTCTGCTGGTTTCTTCTCTGCTGGCTTCTTCTCAGCAGGTTTCTTCTCAGCAGGCTTCTTTTCTGCTGGTTTCTTTTCAGCTTTGGAAGTGCCTGCGGCTGGTTTCTTTTCAGCCTTTGCTGCAGGCTTCTTTTCAGAGGATCCTGCAGCGGGTTTCTTAGACCCTGAAAAACAAAACAAAGAATCTCTTAGATACAGTCTTGGCCAAAGAAAAATAAAACAAGTAGGATTTGATACCATTACGTATTCCCTTAAATGCTGGATCAAGAGTAAAAGAGGTCAAACTGAAACGCTGATTGTTATGTATGAGTTGCTACAAACAATTGTTACTTCTGCTGATTTTAGGGGTGTTCCATAATTTACCTCACTATTAAGAGGCTTCTGCTAAGCCTCTTTGAGATGGAATGAAAAGATTAAAAAATTCAAGAGTAAATTCACTCAGAAAGTTCTCAAAAAACCTTCCAAGTTTGGCAAATTCCAAATCAACGTAAATTCAAGGTACACTCTACTACAGGTATGGACAAACGGGGTGCCGAAGTGGCAGCGCTGAGAAAATAGGTGTGTCAAGTGATGTATGAAGTCGTACCGTCCATTTGCCGCGCAGGTTTTCACAGTCGTACTCTCGATGCTGTCAAATCTACGCGTTTTGACGACTTTCTAGAATTCCATCTGTCCATACCTGTAGTAGAGTGTACCTTGACGTAAATTATGGAGACTACTTGACTCAAATTATCAGTGCTCATTTTAAACCAGAGTTACACTGATGCAAAAACTTGTATATTAATATAAGTTGGATTCAGCGGGGCAAAAACAATCTCTTCACCATGGAACGGGTGTAGAATTATGCTCAGAACGTAGAATTAGAGCCTTACAGAAATGGCAAAATGTGAATTCCTAAGAGGCGCTTCACATTGAAAATTACAAATAATGGCATCGTTTTAGACTCTGAGACAGTGGATGTGGAATGTGAAGGAGAGGAAAAAAATCCCTAGTGCCATTTCGTATTTCACACAGGTTGTGTCTGCTGGTGACCAGTTTGACGGGTTAACTTTGAAACCACTTTCAGGTAAACATAGGGGCTTGAGTGTGCTGCAGATACACTAAAAGGGTGCAATACTTAACTGAAACGGATGAGGAATCAGCTGAAACGATGGGAAAATGGCTTGGAGCTTAAAAAGTGGCGGACTTGTCAAGCACAGGCCGCCTCACGCCATGCGCGTCGGTTTGATTGGAAAGTGAAATTGAGGATCTGTAAGGGGCTTTAATTGAAGATGAGAGTTTTCTAACTTACCAGAGCCTTCTTGCTTCTTCGGCGGCATGTTCGTAACGTTAATTAACACACTAAATACGGAAAAAAGCCCACGATTTTACCATGTGCTGGGCTTATTGTTGACAATGTGGCCGATAGAGAGAAATTTTTAGGCTATTTGATGAACGTTGATCAACGTTGGCACCAACCGATCAACATCAATCATCAGCACTCAACAACAACAATAACAAGCAAAAATGTTATTGAATGTCTTATCTCTTATCATTTATTAGCTCCCTAAATCCTTATCCTTCGTTCAAATATTTCTTATCATGGCTGTGTCCCACATTGTATCGTGTACTATCATGTAATATTATTAATTGTTTATGTCAATAATCATTTCAGTCATATCTCGATTACTTAGTTTGTGTGTGCTCATGTCGTACTATCGTATGCCCTATACAATTTTCATCTTTTAGTAAGTAAAATCTATTCCGAACTCATTGATATGCATCAAAGAATATAAAGGCAGTTATGAACATTCACCAATGAAAACGTTATCCATCCTCTGGCATGTATCCGGCTCTGCTAGCCAGCCAACATTCGGCCAAATCGTAGCTATGGTTTTCTTCAGTGGCCTCCTCATCACCGAAGTCGCATCCTGAAATGCATGTAAGGACACAGGAAGGTGCGTAAATTCAACACTTACCCAACTCACTTCATCTGGGCATCATTTTTGACCTGCTGTCTCTTCATGATGGCCCTAGATTGTGCTCTTGGCCTGTGCCCTGACTTTTACAAGATGGATATTGGTTTCCATGCATCACCCACCGTGAAAGTAAAAGCAGCACTAAGGATGGAAGACCCTCTCATCAGAACGAAAGGGGAGGTGAAATTATTTACCAGCTCATCACACAATGCCTGTCTTCTGCGCAGCCTGAACACATTCAGGCAAGACGGAAAATTTTGTGATGTGGAAATAGTGGTCGGAAGTTTGATTATCAAGGTAAGAATCAGACCAAACTACAGTAGAATTTTGAATTTGACTTCTCTTTATTTTCACCATTGGGTTCAGGTTTCACTATCAAAGGGAACTTCCTAAGCTGCTGCCTCCGATCGAGCTGAAGAAATTTGTATGAACTCTTTGAATGTATCCATTAGGACCATGTTTTTTTGTTTTTCCTAAGCGCCCTGGAAAGTTCATTTTAAGCGTGCGTAGACAGTCCGCACTGGACACACAGTGTGCGCCGGGAAGGCTGGGCGAGGCGAAGGAGCGGCTACTTCACCTCGCCCAGCCATCGCGGCAGTGGGTGTTTGGCGCGTACAAGACCGGACTCTTTGGAATTTTTTGGGATCGTTTCCAGGGTGCATTTGAAGAAAATTAAAACACGGTTCTGATGGATTCATCCAAAGAGTTCAAATGAATTTTTTCAGCCCGATCGGAGGCGGCAGCAGCTTGGAAAGTTCCCCTTGTAAGGTACGGCCACCCACCTTCACCAACCTGACTTATTTTTACATATCCTGGCACAATTAATTCACATTTCACACTCAGTTATTCAAACGATACTTTTAAAACCTGGACCGTTAACCCATATGGGTCATTATTTAGAGGAAATATTTGTGACACTTCTCAAAACTAATCATTTTATCGCTTGATTTTTGGCAACTGTTGACTGTTCATATGGTCTTTTTCTTTACCATAGTAGAGATAATTTACCAATCTTGTATCTGAAACTTGTATAGAGGGAAGACTAAATTTCCTACAAGAATTATTATTCCATGTCAATTGTTTTTTTTTTTTTTTCATTTCAGGCTCATCGGGCTGTGCTGTCTGCAAGCAGTCCTTACTTTCTTGCCATGTTTTCCAATGGTCTAGCAGAAGAATTTAAAAACAAGATAGAAATGCATTCTCTCTCTGAATCAATTTTATCTTTGATCATCGAATTCATGTATTCAGGTTTGTTGGTTTGAATTCCTCTTTGTCTTTTAACCTAATTTTTCTTAAGAGTAATGATAGGTTCTCATTTCTTCTTATAAAACAGTGCTGAACTACAGCTCAAACAATATCTATTCCTCCATGTAAGTTACCACATACTAGTTAAAGTTAACAAAGCTTATTATACCCACTTTTAACGTTTTAAAGTTAAGTTTTTCAGCTGGGTCAAGAAAAAGTAGTATCCAAACATGAAGACATGAAGAAATGTCCTCCATAAAAATACTTCCTTCCTTAACACCTAAAATAAAATTACATCTCTTCGATTTTTATTTTTTATTTATTGTTTTAAAGGTACAATCACCATCACCGAGACAAACATTCAAGAACTGATGGTTGCAGCGGACATGCTCGAAGTCAGCGAAATTGTTGAAGGTTGTGCTCAGTTTTTAACAGATCAGCTTCACGTATCTAATGCCATTGGCATCTACAGGTATTTCTATTTTTGGGTCTCTTTTTGTGCAACTATTAACTGTTTGTTCAAGGATTTATCTTGCATCCATATTGAACTTTGCTGTTGTGTCTTACAAAAAAGGGTTGTCCTATGTCTCTGTGTGTTCTACTTGAAAAAAAAAAAAAACCCCAACCATGTTAGCGATTATCCTTTGCAAGCTGCATTGTCACTTGTCCAATCCACAGGTGCTGAGAATCCCCAATCAAGTTCCCAAGCAGGAGCTAGGAAGTGTGGGGAGATTTTAAAAATGTGAACTGAGGCAAAATTTTCAAGGGTCTAATGTGTGTGGGAAAGTGTGTTGCTCATTACATACTAAACAGAGGAGTTTTTTTTCCAAAAAGGGTTGCCATGGTCAGGATCTACCAGAAAATGTCAGGGAATTTTAAATAGTAAAGGAAAACCTGGAAATGTCAGGGAAAATTATGAAGTGTCTAAGAAAAATTGTCAAATCACCCTTATTTGCTTTCTAGAATAGGTTTGACATTTCGAACGACCTTGTCTGAGAACTATTTTAAATTATGTATGAATTTCTGACCATCTGTCATATCATCAGTCGTTGGGGAATTTTGCCAAAAAGTGTTTTGGAAATGTCAGGGAATTTCTTTCTCTAAATTCTTTGGCAACCCTGCAAAAAATTGAATGCTGTAGCTAGAGCCGCAAAGTTGTTTTCCCTCCTAAAATTATCTCTGTGCAATTTTGACAGGTTTGCAGAAACTCACAACTGGGTAGATCTTATGAATACATCACAGAATTTTATTAATGAAAACTTCCCAGAAGTGTGCGTAGAGGATGAATTTCATGAGCTTCCCAAAAATTTGTTACTCAAGTTTTTATCAAGTGAATCCTTGAAAGTTGACTCGGAATATCAGGTTTGTAAACAGGAGACTAATTTTTAGTTTAAAAGTTTATTTTGATGCATGTATCATATGGTAAGGAAATTGATGTGAAAACCGAAATACTTGGCACCATATGGGGAACTGCTGAAATGGGAGAGAGTTTGAAATGAAAATTAAGTCCAAAAATTTCAACACAACTTTAATTAAAAGTGCGTCATTAAAAATATAAAGTTTGAAAACATTATGATTGCATGAAGGAATTATAAAAGTTCAATCCATTAGGAGCTGGCCTGGTGAGTAATTCTGACTTCTAATAAGACTAGAAAGCTTTTTTTACTTAAATTTACCTTAAGGCAGGCTTTACAAACTTTGAGTCTGAAAGCTTGCTTCTCCAAAATCAAGTCAAGAAAACTTAGCACAGACTTTTAAGATAACATAAAGTATTATCCTTTGATGACTTAAAAGATTCGTTCAGTTTGTTACCTCGGTTCCCCGTTTGTTTTGTTTCCTTTTTTGTATGTCTTCATAAATTGTTTACTTTCAGGTTTTCAGTGCTGCTCTAAGTTGGATCAATCACAATCTCTCTCTCCGGCGGGAGTTTGTTTTCGATATTCTGTCACTAGTGCGACTGTCTCTCATACCATCCCATCTAATCCAACAAACCATTGACAAATGTAAGGACATGAGCCTGGTCGTAGCTTTAAATGCTATCAAAAGAGATCTCGTTTCGGGGAAAGGAAACCTTGTGTCGTTGACTGCGCAGCCTCGATTGAGTGCAAAGAAAGATATATATGTCATAGGAGGTGTTAAACGAGAAGTGTTCTCGTCTTGGAACCGTTGCACAGAATGTCCGTATCACTCAGTTGCAAAGTATGATACGTTCACCAAGTGAGTTTCCTTAAAATTATATAAGTTTTATTATTTTTCAGTGTATATCATTGATGATGGAAGTCCATTAAAAGTTACTCTGTTTGTATTAAAGTGAAGACTAAATTTAAAAGCGAAGTTCATACGATTGATCATTTGAAAAAAAAATTGTCTCTCAGTCCAGTTCCAAAATAACTTTTATATTTTCTCTACTCCTTTTTGCCAGTCTGAATGATCCTATAAAAATCTACATTTCCGAAAATCAAACAAAACAAAAGCAGCCTATGTACTATCAAACTTACAGGGTGATCTAAAAGTCCTGCATTACTAGAACTAGGCACCACCCCTGTAACTTTTGGATAGATTGAGATATAGACTTGGAATTTTGTGAGTGCTGCTAGGTCAGAGGAAACGACTTTTAGGATCCCCCAAAATTCTAGGTGGACCTCTCTGTAAAAGGGTATGATCCTTGAGGTTTATAGGGGTGGTGCGGGACTTTCGGATCACTCTGTATAATTCGTCTACATTTTTCTAGTATGAATTATTATTTTTGACTCATTCATGAAAGTACATATCTGCGTATAGAAATTAATGGCACAAAGTGGCGGTGAAACTACGAAAATGCGTATCCTGGTTGCGGTATTTCAAAATCTGTGCTCCTATTTTATTTTTTATAAATAGACCGAACAACATCATGTTTTGAAATTTTCACAAAATATTCCTCACATAGAGAAGAAAAATCACCAAAGTTTTCAAGTGATGCCGTTAAGTGGTTTTCCATGTAAAAAGTAAAGCATGTCAAGAAGTCTGCAATGCTGCGAACCGATATATACATTTCTGCAGTTTGGTCATTAATATGTTTTTCGTTTTACACAGCCAGGAATACTAGTTCCTTATTGTTGAATGTAGTCCAATTGGTTGTTATAATTTAGAGAAGAAAATGAATTGCAGAGACCTAAATTACATTCTCACAAACGAATATTTTGCGTATGAAATTTCTTCATCAAGTTACTTGTAGAATTGTTCACCTGTAAGTTGCTAAAATTTACCAGTGCGGCCTGCTTTTGCAGCCAATTTGAAAACAGTGTGCCTATGTGCCTAGTGTCGGCCTCCTGTGGTGTAGTGGTTGTAGTGCTGGCTCTACAATCAGGAGGTCCCGGGTTCGATTCCCGGCTAGGCGACCCGAGTTTGATGGTCTCAAACAACGGTTGCCTTGGGCTGGTACATGTTAGGGACGGAAGGGGGAGGGGCTCTAACTGGAAGCGCAAGGATTACCACTTGTGTGGTATTTGAAGTAGTGAAAAAAAAAAAAAAAAAAGTAGACTTGCTTAGTTTTCTAAAATATGGAATCAAACTTTAAAATTTTAATAATTCACCCTAAATTTGTGATTTTTTTCCCATAGAACATGGAGTCTAAGTGTGCCAATGAAAGTGAACAGAGTTCTACCAGGAGTAGCTATTTTGAATGGCCTAATTTATGTCATTGGCGGTGAACAAGGCTCCAACAATTGCCAAGTCCTCTCAGATGGGGAGTGTTATGATCCTCATGCAAATGCTTGGAGTCCAGTGTCTCGGATGCTAGCACCCAGGTGTGAGTTTGGACTTAGTGCAATGAACGGATATTTATACGCACTCGGAGGTTGGGAAGGCGATGACATCGGGGACAAAATTGAAAGGTTAGTTACTGTGCATACAATTGGAAACAGTATGAAACCTTTTTTTTTATTTTTGCTTTAGTTATGAACATTTTAGGCGTTATGTGAAGCTGTCAAAGGTTTTTTTAATGTAAAATTGTACATTTCTTGCAATGATCAAAGTATCCAAAAATCAGACGACCTATATTTTAAATAATATTAAAACATTTGGTTTCTGTTCAATTTTGAAGGATAAAGATAGAGAATGAGGAGGTGTTTGCTCACAAATATTAATGAGAAGTTAAGTGTTAAGGTGATTCGATGGACGCCATATTTAGTGTCAGAACGGCATGCGATATATCGCATCAATTGGTTCCATTTTTTCAGCTACTCGTCATTTTTCTCCAATTTTGAAATCGCAATTCTGTTGTCAGGAGACTAAAGCACTCACTTACCAATTTTAACAAAGAAATTCAACGTAATAAAGGCGTGGTTTTTTCAGAGAGAAAACATCGCATTCGATACTGATATCAAAACTGCACTCGAATGCGATATTTTCTCTCTGAAAAAACCATGCCTTTGTTACGTTGAATTTCTTTGTTAAAATTGGTAAGTGAGTGCTTTAGTCTCCTGACAACAGAATTGCGATCTCAAAATTGGAGAAAAATGACGAGTAGCTGAAAAAATGGAACCAATTGATGTGATGTATCGCACGCCGTTCTGACACAAAATATGGCGTCCATCAAATCACCTTAACACAAATGATTTTTCAAACATGTGTGTTAGTTGCTTTACAGTGCTCTTTGGGGCTATACAACTACGCTGTTCTCTATTGAATCATAACCCTTTAGGAATCTTGCACTTCAACATTGTATATAGGATACCATCCTCACACCTGCTGATTGGGTGCTTTTCTGTCTGGAAGAATTCAAAATAGGACCTGTTTCGGCAACCTGTCATTTACCATTCTCTGTATGTGACCATTTCGTATTAGTTCAATGGGTTTTAACACTGATTGTTTATAAGAATTTAATAGTAGTCATCAAAATTGTAGATTTTTAATTCTTGCCTTGGTTTTTATTTTATAAGCAGTTCAGTGGGACATCTCTCTTTAGCCGTAAGTAAAATAACCGTATTCATTTTTGTTCCAACTTATTTTCATCCGAATGTATGACCTCAGCTAAAAAAATCCTAATCTCAAAAGATCTCTTTTCATTTGCGCAGGTATGATCCTGTCACCAGGGAATGGAAAGTGTATGGAAATTTGCCGTTTCCACGATTTAGCATGGGCGTTGTGTCCTACAAAGGTATCATTTGTAAATTATCTCATAGCATCGATACACTCAGAGATGAAACGTGGTAGTCTGGCTGTCAAGGAAGTACCCATAAATTCACTGTTGGCTTTCCAAACCTATCAGTGACTAAGTTGAAACCGAGCTTTCCAAGAAGTGATCTAAAAAAATCACAGTCCCATATTATTCTGTACCTTATTCTTGAAGTTTACTCTGTATTGTAAGGCGCTTTATGAAAGAAAAATTTAAAGAATGGAACTTCAGATCAAACAAATAAGATATTCCAATAAAGAAGCTGACTTTATGATTGAATTGATATTTTTGTCAAGGGCCCAAAATTCAAGTCTCGAGACAATGGAAATGAATGTGCCATTCGAAGTGTGTTCAACCTCTTGAGCCCAGTTTTAATAGGTATTCCTCAGACTTATACATTTTTGGGGTCCAAAAGACTGAGCACACTAATGGCTCAATTTCCCCCGTTTTTCTCAAAATTTAGATTTTGGTGATTCCCATAAATAAAATACTAGTTTAATTTATTGGATTGAGATTTATTTGATTTTTATTATCCAATTTATTCGATACCCGCAAGCAATACTGAACTGTCAAAAGTCGGAAATTGAAAGAAACCAAGTTGGTATGTTTTCATTCTCACTGATTCAATCAAGAACTTAGAAATACAGAAAGTCTGTTTTGAAATCTCTTGTTCCAAACTTTGCGGCAGTATATTTTTTTTGTTTCCAGGTTTAATTTACTGTGTTGGTGGCTGCTCCACAAACACAAGGCGGCTTCAAGACCTGAGCAGCTACGATCCTGAAACGTCCAAGTGGACTCCGCTCGCAGAAATGAGTGTCCCTCGAAGTCAGATGGGAGTTGCCATCCTTGATGATTACTTGTATGTTGTCGGTGGTATGAGCATCAATCAAGATGTGTTGGAGTCGGTGGAGCGCTACTCATTCAAAGAAGTAAGGGAGCTTCAGATACTTCATAGTTTACACTCTTATCTTTCCATGCACCTGATTGCATCTCTGAATTCTTGAGGGAGGTTGCACAGGACGTCTACCATCAGTAAAACTGGGTAATATCAGGAAATTTAACATCATCAGGGAAAAGTAGGAAGATTCGGTCATGGATCAGGAAATTTTGAGTGCGTCAAACATTTTTGAAGTACATGTAATTTAGCACTTGCAAAAGTAAAAGATTTGATTCTGCTTATTAAATATGTTGGTTTGTAAAATTAATAAAAAAAAATTGATATCAATTAATTGTCTCGCTGTCAATTTATTCGCGCAAAAAATCAGGAAATGACCTCTGAAATATCAAGAAAATCCGAAATAAAATTTTAGTAGTTGCCCTATTACGGGAGTGAATTTTTCTGGTTTGGAAGACCTCTAAGCAAATTTTTGATCCATGTTAATCAGATCTTGTTTTTTTCAGTGATTGTCAATGACAAGAGGTTTCTTTTCTTTTCTCTCCTTCCTTATTGTCATTGTGATTTAAATGCCAGTTTAATAAAGATACGTAATTCCCACAAAACATCAATAGTACCTTCTTTGTCGCTTCCTGCCTACCACTATTGATTTGTTTCGTATGAAAGTTTCTTTTTCAAGGTTTGTTGCACAGCTTGGAAAATACTGTTTTGTCGGCAGTGTCAAAAATGACTTTGAATTTGAATTCAGTCAGGCAGTTTCTTCGTAGGTACCATAGGTTCTCACTGTTCTTTTCTTAAAACAAGAAAAATGCATTTTGAACATGATCTACTGTCATTTAAAGTTACCCTGACATCTAAGCACCAGAGTATTTTCTAAGACCTATAACTTTTTGATAACGCACATATTCATCCTAAAAATTTTATGTGATCCAAAATTAGTAACATAAAAATTAGTAACACGAAAAAAATTATGCGGGTTTTGAAAGAAATTTGTTTACTCATTTGAAATATTCTGAAATCTGGTTTTCCAAAAAAAACCAACTCCGTACTGGTGTATTTATATTTACGCCATATCATTCCAGCTCAAACGAAAATGAGCTGCATCCATGTTTGTCAACCGAACGTAGTTCTTAATGATTAACCAGCCAAATTCACTGAATTGAGTCATATCCACACTTTTGGTCTCAATAAAAACTGCCCTAGTTTTGGAATTTTCGTGCCTGAATCTAAAAGTATTCTAAAGTAAATAATTGTGTTCCAGAACAAGTGGTCCTTGGTCCCACCAATGGCGCACGGGCGAGCAAGTCCTGCAGTAGTTGCAGCTGACGGGAACCTGTATGTAATTGGAGGAGATCAGCCGCATGTCGTGAATTTCTACCGCGCACACTTAACAGTATCGCACGTCGAAAGGTACTGTCCATCAACAAATACTTGGGAAGAGTGCTGTCCACTGCCCGAAAGCCGAAGTGAAGCAAGAGCTGTCGCTTTATAAGACTGACCAGTGGTATATTTTCCTCTCCGACCGCTGTTTTAGTAGCGTTTAGTCATGATTCACTTTTTCTATTAGCTGTCTGAACCAGTCAATACTCAGTCTGAAAAATGAAAATCAAATTTTTTTTAAAAAAATCACTGTAATGATACAGTTACAGAAAATCTATCCAATTTCTATGCTGCCAAACCACTCGTTTTAACGCTTTTTCTACTTGGATAGCTTCATAGAGGGATTATCAAAGTTGTACCTCCTTTTACAAGAGTCTTGCACTCAAATTGTCTTCAATATCCTGTAGCACTGTCTAAGATTTGTTTTACGTCTTTTAGTAGTATTTATTTATATCATCTTGGAGACAGATGAAAAGCACAAAATAGGGAAATGAATCGCAAATTTCGAAGAACATTCATTCAGATATTGGTTAATCCTTACAAAACTCCTCAAGTATGGTACTGGTGCTGTTTTTTATTTTTGCAAAGCTAGCGAATCATTTAGGTGGTTCTCCAGCAGTTTTGGAGAAAAATTTGATAGTTGATCGATCAATTGATAATTTCTGGATTTTAGGACAAATTCTTGTCAATTTTTGAGAAAATTACAGACAATCACAATTTCCTCTTGTGCAAAACCCAGCAAGCAGTGGGACTTGGTTTTAAGGTTGTAAATTTCAGGTTAAGGTTCCTATGATTTACTAGTGAAGAGATTATATTAATTCTAGAAACTATTCAGTGGCAAATACGCATTTCAAAGATTGATGTCTTAAGAGGAAAAGGTAACCAACAAAACTGTTCTTTAATCAGTTCATCTCCTATCACTCTAAATTGGTAGGTATTTCAAGAACTTAAACGATCACATATCTGTTATCTGAGTCATTTTTTTTTCTTTTATTGAATGATAGTATAACTAAAAGAGGGTATGAAGCTGATGTCTATGAGATCTTGTCTCCATGGGAAGTTTTCGGGAGATTCGTCACAGCGCGGAAGCCGATGAAAGAGGTTTATTTTCTCAGTTAGTCTTGAAGCTCTACTAGCGCCCCACTTAAACTGCGTTTAATATTGAGTCAGTCATTATTTGTCGCTACTTCGTGAGTGCGACTTATTGCTATGATAGATCGTGGGAAAACGTCTAGTGAAGATAAGGCATAAGTCATTCAAATGGGTATTTCTCCCCACTCTGCATCTCAGATACTTTAATTAATTATCTGAAATTACCAGCAGTAAAGCACTGTATTGCTATTAAATAATCACTAGTACAATCAACAAGAAGAAAAGCATACTATCAAAATTGATGGAAGAAGAAATTATAAAATGAGAAAGAAGTTGTAAATCAAGATTTTCACTCACTCATTTCTCTCCTCAGTTCAAAAATCGTATTATGATCTCTATAATTCGAACTTTCGTCACTTCGAAATCTCTCTAATCAGTTCTTTTTTCCGTTAAATTTTTATTAATCAAGAGACAACTGTACCTACTATTTATTCACTATTGATTCTCTTTTTTTCTTTTTTTTTTTGTCTTTGATAAGGATTTAAGAAGTTCTCTGACTGGCTGAGATGTAACTTGCATTTTTTCATGTAAATCTTTACATCAGCACATGCCCAGTCATAGTCAGCAATGCCATCAATGAAATACATTATTTTGCTTGAATCATTATTATATTCGAAAATAAGCATAGGTAGTTCAATCGTATTTGTATGTCAAAAATATTGACCGAATGACCTTTCAACTAACTTATGATTCTTCTTCTTCTTCTGTTGGTTTACTGGCTTATATTCCATACGTGGAACCTACAGCCATAACCTATGATTCTTACCTCTTCGTTGAATCATAACGACATGCAAAGATCATGAAGAAATATTTGTATCCTCTTGAGCTCTGCATGAAGAGTTTTTCGGTGAATTTTACTACTTTAATTTATCATTTTTTATGCATTTTTATTATGTCTGAGACTGTAAATTGTGTTCAGAAACCTTGTGCTTCATTTACATCAAACCGCACAAACTGTTTCTCTAATTTTCTCTGTCTTGTGTATCTTTTTAAAATTGAATTTTTCGGGCTACAATGAATTTGAAGTAATCACTGTCAAGTACGATAGAGTCTAGAGGAAAATCTTTAATGATCTCTTTCGAGCGGAGTGAAGCTATCAGCAAAGAACCATACGGATTTATGCCATTGGCTCAAGTCGGGAACCACCTATCTCAATTCTGATTTTTGAACACTTTCCTTCCTATAAATTGTTTTTGACAGGAAATAAGAAAATTTTATTGCTTGATTTTTTCACAGAATATACTTTGAAAGGTCAAAGGAATTTTAAAAAAAATTACTGCTGATCAGTTTCCCTACAAAAACATAAGATATCATGAAAATTCAGCAGCGCAACATACCAAGATAAGTGGTTTCGAATTTAGCCCCTAATATAGTTTTTCTACTTGTTTTTAATTTTTTAATTTTTTTGTTTTTTCCTCTTTTACTCGTGTTTAAATAATTTTATCAAAGGAAAATGACCTTGAAAGAAATATCTTACATTCTAGTCCTTTCTCCCTGAAGTTAATGAAAAACAGATGAATTTATGTTGAAATGCATTTTTTTCTTTTACGTGCGCACATACAACTGCTAGATATATTGAATTTGAGTTCTCTCTCACTTCCTTGGGGAACATACAAATTAAATCGGTGGAAAATAGCATTTTTGTTTTAGGATTTTCACTTTTTTAAAACTTTCTTTTTCTACTTAAGTTCAATTTTCGCCTGTAAAAGTTTAAGACAGAAAATATTGAATAAAAAAAGTCCGCACATTTTCAACTGATAGACAATGCTGCTCGATCAATGTAACAAAGCAGCATCATCAGTTGCAGAATCAGTCGTATGCTGTTTATAAAACTACTCTTAATGTATGTTCATTATCTGTCTTTTTTTGTTCTTCCGTTTTTGTTATCAATGTTTGTTCATAATCAAAAATAGCGTTGAGTTTTATAACTTATACTTTTTATAAAAATATAAGATTTCTAAACGCATAAGTCAAATAACTTATTTTTTTTTTTGTTTGCATTTTTTGAGTGATTTATATCTTTAAATCAAATATACATCAAAGGCTAAGAAACAATACCGCCTAACCGCTAATTTTGGCAAAAATGAGTTAGCGACTGCCAAATTCTACAGTATAAAATCCGCAAGCTGATATTTTTAGTAAATTCCAATCCAACATGGCAGCGCGCTACTATCGCTGTAATGTGTAAAAAAATTACAAATCCAACATCAAAATTACAACAAATTGCCTCGTTTTTTCTTCATCCTGCGAAATCGTCCGGATAGGCAGTATCACAACATGTATCTCTTAGAGAATAGGGAATGATAGAATAAGCTTCCATAGTGAGATCTGGGACTTGGAAACAAGATCTTAATTCTGATTACATTCAAAATTCATGCTGCCCATGTAGAAAGACTCACCAAATAATTTACTGAGCAAATAACTCTCAATAATTGTACATTTACCTATTGTTATAAGCCCCAGATATTTTACTTGGCGTTTTAGAAGGATCGATTTTCTTACATTCTGGATGTCTATAGGAGGATTTCTATTGAGGTAAAAAAAGTAACGACATCTAACAGATGACACTTGATGCAAAACTTCAAATTAAAAATCGAAAAATACTTTTGGGAAGTTCGCGATCTAGCAAAAGGAAATGTTGGCATGTTATTCAATTTCACATCTGGAATAAAAAGAATGAATGGAATACTTTGATAAGTTTTAGGTATTCTTTAATGAACGACCATATTCCAAAGTGCGGCTAATAAATAAAATTACACCAAAACAGAGATCATTTCATGGAAAAACAAATAACAACATTTAAACTCTTAATGGTATAACATAGAATGTAACATTTCATAAAATAATAATAATTTTCGTCAAAAATATACAACTATATATAGATACATAATTCTCTGACAGAAAACTCAAATATAGGAACTCCAGCTTTGAAAAAATTCGACATCAATAACGGCACCTGAAATCTCAATAATAGCTGCAAGTAACAAACGCAAGAATCAAAACTTAAAACTCCCAAAATATTTGGTGTAGGTATTTTTTTTTTATTTTTTTTTATTTTCATGAGTTTGACTCAAGAAGCAAACGGAAATTCATTCGAGATTAAATCTCCACTTGCTAAAATTAATTTATTTACACCTTAGAGCTGTATTCATACTCAATCGTGAGCAAATCGATCGCTAAACTCAAGACTTCAAAATTTTCAATCTTTTTTAGTTTCTCCAAAAAGGAAGAGACTTCTTTTATTGAGATTTTCACAGAATATTCGCACAGAGAAAAAATCGCAGGAATTTTCAAGAAATCGTGTTGCTTGATTTTTTATTTAAAAAAATGAAGTACACTGAGAAGTCTGCAACAATGCCAACCCAGATTTGTGGTTTTAAGTTTAGCAATTGGAATAAAACAGCGCAATTATGTAGCATATTCATGGTTGAATTTGATACCTCATTTAAATAAGTATTGTTAAACCAAAGACAGCAAATAATTCATTGCTTGGCTGATAAAAGGGCGTAACTACATACTACACTGAGAGATGAGCTCAAGATGACATCAAGTTACATGAACAACAGGGGTCACTCAATATGTCAGGAGAGCCATGAATTGTTGGTCAAAATAATTGCGATGAATGTATTGTCTTGAGTGATAAGTACGTAAGAATTGAATGTGAAAGTTTAAAAGCAATAATGTCTTCTTAAAAAATGAATTTTCAAAAATTAAACTACAGCCCTTACTACAAATATAAGCAGTTGAGAGGAGGAATAAAATGACCTGTTCCGTCCAATGTGGAAGGATTGATTCGCTCTTAGGTTTTTTTTAACTCGCAGATAGCCAAAGTTGTTCGTACATAATGAGTAACATGCCTTCATTTTCTTTCTCAAAAAAGTAACAGAGCCGGTTACTTTGCTTCACCTCACAACTGCCTTTTTAAGCTATGCAGGCTTACATGCCTAATATGAATAAAATTTCAAAAAGTACAAATGTACTCCAAACATTTGCATCACAAAATGTGCTTATACTACAACATTAAGTATACTAGAGGTTGGAACCAAGTTCCTCAGATCAGAAAACGACACAAAAAAATTGATTTGCACATTTTTAGTTTTTCTTGAAATTGAAAAATGTTCCTTGACCTCCATTCAGTGGAGGCATCAATCCTTGACCCTCTTTATTTTAGAATAAATTCTTTTTTAACAAAGAACTTTGAGAAGTTCTCATCAATTGAGACCCTACAAAAGAGAGATCTCTTTGTTTCCTTCAGAATATCGATTAAAACTAACTGTAAAAAAATAATTATCATGGTACCAAGGTGTCTATCTTTTGTTAGACACAATTGATCACATTTTTTTCATTTCAGATCCCAGAATCTTATTTACTGAAAAATGCTTAATACAAAGAGAATGATGAGTTAGTACAATCAAATCGTCAGAAACTACTTGCTACAAAGCCTTAACTTCAGAATGTTAAGTAAATTACTGTCTGCTGCAACCATAGATTCCCTGAGTCTCAACAAGTCACTAAACGTAATAACTTTCAGGCACCGAAGGAATAAGTATTACCCTATCAAAACATTCATACGATGTACCACTAGACAGGGTGCAAAATTAGGGACCACAATATATTTTACACACCTGATTGCAATTTTACGAAAAATGCGATGCACGCTTAATGTAAACCACGCTTTCATTATTTCGTATTTCTCAATTAGAAGTTAAATATGAAATTTTTTGATTCGTTTATTCATGTAGAACACGCTCTACGTGAGATTTTAATGATACAATATGTTCTGAAATGCTTAATCTTTTACTCTGTCTAGTGGTCCATTTTTTGGAGTGGTCCTTGTAGAAAAACTCACCGCAGCGCAAAAGTTACAACAAAAGGTAAAGACAAAAATAATCCAATGATACAACAATGATACATTATGATGATAGTCTTACAATGATAATCTTACAACGATAATTATTTCAGGATAAAAAATGGAATGTCATGGAAAATGCCTGATGCATTACTGCATTTCTTGTTTTTAAAGGGTTTTCTTTCCTGAAAAGAAAAAAATCACTAAAATTCAAAAATAATCAATATATTGAAGGGATGGCAAAACTCTGAACTCAAGTCTGCAGAGCTACCTTGAACAAAATTTTGTAAAAATGATAAGAACAAAAAATATCACAGGTTTGCGATTTTTTAGAAAGGAAAAATCTGACTTAAAAGAGAATGATTCACGGAAGAAAAAATAAAGAGAAGAAAATAGAAAACTCCGCCCATAAAAATAATAATAACTTATAACAGCCTGTTTTGGAAGGTTCAATTTACAATCCCAAGATGGTCAATTTTCAAACAACTTTAGGAAAGGGACTAGATTAGTTCATGATCTAAGATACATCATTTTGTCTCATGGAAACAATCACTCACATGGCTTTTTCCTACGAACGCGCCAAGCCATATCTCAAAGATCATTTCATTAGAATCAATGCTACCTAAATTTACACACTTTTAGACTGCAAACAGAGGATTCACTATATTGATTCTTGCATTTATTTTCAATGCTAAACTGTCATCAGACGGTCCTCTATGGCAGTCTTAAAGTGCGTAAATTTATTTGGTGTGAAATGTAGTGACCAAACTTGAATCCTCCTTGAACTTTGCTGAAAAAATTAGGAAAAAGAGTTGCCATTCTAGATTCCATCTCAGAACCTGAGTTGGCGATTTAAAATTGGGAATGAATTAGAATTAGAAGACATAAAAAATTAAACTATTTCATTGTACAAGTTTCATCCACCTCCAAGTGCTCAATCTTTGAGCCTAAAAATATTTGCTCCATGATTTTGCTCTTCTATTTAATTTCCCAGATTTAGAGACTCAAGAGCAAGACTTAAAAAAGACTTAAATGCATTGACTAGATAATCTCACAGAGTTGAATTTCACAGCTTATTGATCTCTGTGAATTTAGCAGGGGGTAGAAATATATCTAATGTTTTGCACAGCTGGAAATGCAAATACCAGTACCACTTGATGATGTCAGCAGCTTTTTCGGCGATGGCCATTGTTGCGGCATTTGTGTTGGCACTGGGTAAGGTTGGCATGATAGAGGCATCTACTACGTACAGGGATTCCACACCTTTCACTCTGCAAGAGAGAAACAAAGAATCTTTCAAAGAAAACTGATTGAAAAAAACAGAGTCTGAAAAGTAAGTAAAAAATCTATGGAAGAAAACTGACACAGAAATGCATAGCTTGAAGTTCAAGTAAGTATGTAAGCAAATAATTTTCTAAAAAAAAAACAAAAGCAATGAAGATTGATTATATTTGTGGGTCTCTTTGATTGCCGTTGCTCAGTCATTAGAGTTTTCTTTTAAGTTGATGGAGAGATTGCATTTCACGTCACTTATTAGCTAATTAGAAGAAAAATTATATACTGCCAGTGATGCAGAAAAGGTGGGAAAAAGGAAATGAAGGCATAAAGGTAAAACTTTTTCCACCTTTTCTGCATCACTGGCAATATTTATAAGTTTTCTTCTAATTTTCTTTTAAGAAATAGGCTGATTATTTACTTTATGTGAATAACTTTTCTTTTCGAAACGAGCCATCTTTTATTTTGTTGACAGCAAGCGCCTGTTTTCCTCGATCGTTCAAAATCGTATAATTTCACTCCTGTTATGGGCGAAGTCTAATTTTGGGGATGAGTACACCAAAATTCACTTGTAAACAGACGCTCGACGATGTCCGCGGACATTGAGAAACAACAGCCCCCAAATGAGAGCAAGAATATCTTCTTCACCTTGCTCTAGAGCTCACAGACAGTAGACCCAGGACAAAACTAGCACGCTCTCTAGCAGATCAAGCTGTTAGGATGCTACCTCAATGAATAGTAGCGGAGGTTCCAGATTGTCCACTGTCTGTTATACCTGAAAATTCTCATGGACGAAATAGAGACAGCTTTAAAAAAGCTTTTCAAAAGACTTTTGAGATATTTTGAAATGACTAAGTTAGAGACAGTACTTAACTTGCTCTTATCACTGCTCAGAAAAATGAACGGAAGACAGCAATTTTTACCCTCAGGCTCACAAATGTCAAAGTAAGCAACTCCAAGTACAAAGAATAAACCTGAACGACTTGATTTAATTTGAAAGGTGCAAACATTATCCAATTCTCAGTGGCATTACTCTCTGTCTATTGAGTTTGAAAAATTTCTAAGGAAAGACACTTGGACCTTTTTTACTTGGAAGATGTTTCTCTCTAAACCTACATTCCATTCCAGAGAGCGGTCATCTAATTTTTTTTCTAGAGCCTCTCAATGTTATTAGTGGGCAGTCCTATATATTGTACCAAAATCTGAATATTTTTACGGACTTATAGATACTTCAGATTGAACAGAATTACGGACTGAGGGAAAACAGACAATTTTGGACTAAAGTCAGATGAGAGGTAAAAAATCTTACGACTTACTTTAAAGTATGATCCACAACTGAATCATGAGAGCCCATTCGGCATGTTCCCACAGGATGATATGTTGTAAGGCTGACATGGCGCACATAGCACTCCCAATATTCATCAGAACCGAACGTCAAAGATGCACAGCCAGGTACTTTGTTCCTATTCAGTTTTGTCCCAAAGTCAGTTTTAAGTGATTCTGTTTCTGTGAGCTGCTCAACTAGTTTCATACCTGTGGTAGGGTCAGAAATTCATGGATCATTTTACATCCAAATACAAACAGATATTCTTTTTATCTCAACTACTGAATGAGACTAAGTAAAAGAACCAAAAAAGTTCCGAATTTACATTTTTCCCCTCAAGAAATGCTCTATCAGGTTACAGATCAGTGAGAAATCAAACAGTTCCAAAATAATGAAAGAGAGGTTAGTAAATTTTTTCAGAGTTGAAATAAACAGACGCTCAAGTGGGTAAAACTGGCTGAAATTTTCTTGAACTACACCTCAAAAATCACTTCCCCTTTTTAAAAAAATGCACACTGTTGTAGATTACGAGTAACAACAGATGTATAGAGGTACAATTGTAAAGACTACAAGTGTTGGTTTTCTTCAGTTTACTGAGTAGAGACTGGTTTTGCGTCCATCTCTTTCCCTCTGAGAAATTTCGGCTGTCTTTTTGTTATTTCTGAGTGTCAAAAAGTTTCACTATTCTGCGATCGGAGGCATCATCTATTTTTATACTTTTGTCTGTCTCATATTTAAGAGAAAGGCTGATGCACTGCCTAGCTAATCTTGATTGCCAAAAGCAATGAAACAGTATTAAAACTTTTTGCGCTTGACTTCAAGACCATTGCTCTAACCTTGCGCATCTTTTCTCTTTGGCGCCTTGCAAGTAGGCCTCTCATAAGATCTATTTTCCTGTAAAACGTTCTGAATAAAGGGTGAACCCTCTCTCTGAATTTTCTATTTGTATTAGTCCTTTTGAACATTTCCCATTGCTCTCTCACTTGAAAAATCCATTTTTCATTTCTCATTATAATGCAGCGTTAACTTGTAAGATCAGTATACATATGTGACCCAGCGCATGAGGGCCACAAGGAACATGGTTACTAAAACTCTTTATTTCATAAGTTCCCACGTGACACACACGGAAAAAATAGACTAAAGATGATTACCTTCCACTAATACTTGTACATCGTCCTTATGACTAAGATATTTAGGATCAATAACAGGTGGATCTGATGGGTTCCTGCTTCTCAATTCAATGAACCCGCGGCTTTTCGGGTGGAGAAGGACAGGACAAACGCTGACAACGTTATGAGGAAACATCTGCTTCAAATAGCTGTCCCAAAACTGAAAAAAACCAATAAGGAAGTGATAACTTTGGAGAAAAGAAATTGCACTGCTGTGCTCTGATGGGCTAATGATCAAATTAAGGTGAATGCAAAGGTAGGAAACATAAAGAAAAGAAAAACACTAGAAAAATACATCGATAGCCAAAAGGCAAAACCACGTATAGTATTTCCTTTTGGGACTTCACAGACTTACTGTTGTCATACTGTATTTTTTCTTTGGAATACTAGTCAACCTACTTGAGGACCTTGATTTCCTGTATCTTCTGGCAGAATATTCTTTGTAAATTCCAAGCCATGAATTAGCTTGTTTCTCTTCAAAGAAATAAAATAGGAGCAAAAATTTTGTAAAACCGCAATTTAGATATGTCGTTTCGCACTTTGGTCATTTAAATGGGTCTGTTGCAAGCAAGAGATACAGCCAAGTGAGAAGACTTTCAATGCAGAAAATTACAAAAAAATCACAATGAGCACATCAAAAAAAGTGAAATCTACTCAATAGTGCACAGTTCGTGACACACTTTTTCGAAGTTCCTGCATCTGCAGGCAGTTTTTCTTGGCAACCAGGTTTGGCCAGAAGGCGACATCAGAAAATCTAACCAAAATAAATAAACAAACAATCCAGCAAAATTTTTCTTGAAAGGTAAGATCCCAATCATTTTCAAGCGTTTCTTTCTTCCTTGTTTCTTTTGTGCAACAAAAACAAAAGCTTTAAATTGATAGAAATCATACATTTGACAAGAAAAAAATGCGTTAAGTTGCTTTAAAACATACTCTTGCACTGAATTTCTGTATCGATTATAATTTTTTTTTTAAAAAAAAAAAAAAAAAAAAAATCATGACCTAATTTTTCCTGACCTGATCAGAAAAGCTCATCAATCTTCGGACCACTGCTCCAGCATCACTTGAAACTCCGGCTGGTAGAGACATCAACTGCAAATCGGGAGGCTCCCGATTTGGATCCTTTGCTGCATTTGTGTAGAGTACACCCAATGTCTCACAGCCCGGAGCGCTCCATAATCCTGAAAATTAAACAGGTGGGTGAGGAATCACAAATGTGTGAATGCCACAGGAAATTGTACTATATTGAAGCTAGAAGGTACCTGATTACTTTTCATCATGTTTATCATTTTTTTCGATTCTTGAAAAAATAATAAATAAATACAAATAAAAATAAGTAAGTAATTAAGGCTGGGCTGACCGGCGAGGCGCCCTCAAGGGACCAAGGCGACTGGCAACTGCCGTTGTGCACCCCGAAGTTGGACCGTGCTCCTTAACTTTGTGCTATTGACACTTAGTGTAACGTCTATATTCCCGCAAGGCTCCGCACTCGTCTGATAGCCAACGGTAGGTCTTATCCAAGACTGCGGCACTGTGGCAGACGCTGCAGCACGGATTAAAATAATAATAATGTAACATATTTGAAACATTTGAAATTTGAAATAGGAACATATAGATCCCCAAACCATGTATCTCGGTTTGCAATGTTGCAGACTTGAAATCATACTTCATTTTTTAAATGAAAAATTACTGAATGGCAATTCTTGAAAACTGCCTTGGAGCAGAGATTTTCAAACATCACAAACAAGATACATTGTTTGGCAGTTTCACCGCTGATATTAGTATTTGTATGTTACGGTTGAAACTCAACATCCATCCATGCTACAGCCCACCAGTCAAAACTGGTCCTTAAACAATTCCACATGCGGTGCCACAACACAACCGTAACAGCCTTGCTTTGCAAAATGATTACTCCATTAATGCAGTAAATATCACTTCACTAAAAATTAGTTATTGATAAAACCAACGGTAAAATCTAGAAATTGGTCAAAACTAATTTTTGCAGTAATGGTTTATGGAAACTGCCAATGTGGCCCCCTTTTGGATTTTCTCTCTTTGTTGGAGTCAAAAAAAATGTTGGTTCTGCTCCAGTTTCTCTTATTGAGTTATTATCATACCTTACAGGAAGTTTTGAGTCCCACCCACCTTTTGCTTAAGAAATAGTTTTTTTTCCTCTCCTGAACAATTTGAAAAACTATGAATGGCCATTTTACAAAACCTACGAATTAATTGGTACATCTTGTTCTTACCTTTTCCTTGAAAGAAGTAGTAAAAGACATTTAGAGGGTTCAGGAAGGACTTCAGATCCATGCCTATCGGTTTGTCTAATACAACCATGTCTAATCCTGTCGTGACATGGTCTTGGAGGTTCCTTCCTACCGGCAAATCAACAATAACTGGAATCTACAGGGCAAAAGACAGCGGTGTAAAGTCACAGTTCTGCCACATTAGAAATGAAAGATTAGAGATAATTCCTTAAATCTACGACTAAACCTAGGCTACGGTTCTAAGCATTTTGATAGAACTTACATTTATTCGGCTTTGAGACAGAGTCAGAAAACTTGGAGTATTTTACTCATTTATTTTGTTTTGGTGCGGGATCACCTGAGCTATTCTACTCAATTGTTGTATGTATTCTGAAAAATAAGGAAGGCTTTTTAAAGAAATTAAAAACCATTTCAATGTACCATCATTATTTTTATTTTTTATTTATAATAAAGGCTTGATGATGGTATTAATATATTAGTCTATTCTATTCCAACTTTTTCTCTCTCTTTTTTCCTGCTTTTATTAGTATTTTGGAGAAATGTGCTTAGATATAGTTGGATTAAATGGTAATGATTAATTTTGATAGTTACTAACCTTAAGATTTTGTAGGTGATTCCGAGGGCCAATTCCAGAAAGTAACAGGATCTTAGGAGAACCAACAGCCCCTGCAGAGAGAATGATGGACTTTTTGGCACGAGTTTTCACGTACACTCCGTTTAGTTTGAACAGAACTCCGTAGGCTTCAAAATTACTTCGAAATAGAATCTAGCAGACAAAAATAAAAATAACTTATTACCTTGAATCATTTGCAAAAGTAGGAAGATAGATTGGAAAGTACACGAGAACTGACATATTAGATTTAGCTTAAAGTTCATCGTCATTCATGAAAAAGTTGTGAAACCTGTGCAAGAATCAATTAAGAAATCCGGAGTTTTGTGCAAAAATGTTCCTATCAGTTTTCATTTTGTAGATTTTCTACCTATACTCTCCTTACAGTTGAAATGAAATGAATGAGAATACTTTTCTCCTTGAAAAGTATTCTCATTCATTTCATTCTATTACCGCGTTCTTTTTAGAATTCTCCTTATTTTCCCATTTTCATTAGCCTCATTAAATACAATTTATGTTCATTGAAACCATTAGCTCTTTTTAGATATTGTATTTTGCACACACCTTTTCCACAACAGCATTTGGTAACACTCGGAGGTTGCCTGAAGCTTTCAACTTTGCATTTAGTGCTTCCTCACTGCTCCATCGAGCTCCTTTGTTCAGCGTTACCTGCGTCTCCATAAAGCCAGCGCCTCTCTCATTCACATCTACAACATCATACCCAAGTTGTTGCGCTGCTTTCAAAAGTGATTTTGAGAAACCAGTTACATATTGTATATCTTCTACAATTATTGGTCCTGTTCGCCCATGCGCATCTGAAAATGAATTACATAATTACAATAACTTCTATTTGATATAGAAAAAAAGCACATGAACATTAAGGAGACTACGCTTACGGATAAAAACATCATTGCGGAGAAGAATGGGAAAATAATGTCCGTATTTTGATCGTGGTATTTCCATAATTCTGTTTGAAAAACTCTGCTTTGGAGTTCTGGCAATGATGAAAATGGTCTGGGGTAACGGACAATGGCAATGTCCTTTCCTTAACCACCATCCCAACCCAGTCGACCCAGAACTGCTCTCCGATCAGTAAGATGAACATTAAGCTTCAGAATATGCTAAACTTTAGGGCGATTCTTGAAGTGTTAAAGAGGCAGATCGACGGTGTGAGTCAGCAATCACATAACTCAGTTTGCGACAACGCAGACTTCCTGTCATACTTTCTTTTTTTAAAGGGAAAACTACTCAACGGCAATTCTTTGAAATTGCCGTGAATTTTCTTCTCTTTGCAAAGAAAATTCTGCATAAACTTCAAGGAATGGTGTCAATTTGTTCTCCTTTAAAAAAGTAACATGGATGCAGAGATTTCCAGACACCGCAAACGAGTTATGTGAGAGCCGACTTACATCATCGAGATGTCTCTCTTCCAGGTGATATATTTTACCATTTCAATTGTATACCAGTATTCGCCTTTGAGCGTGCAGAGCCCTCTATTTTTACAGAAGAATGAGAAAAATTTTTATCATGACAGTTGGAAAAACCTGTGAAAAACAAAAGAAAATTGGTTTCTAAAACATACATATGTAAATCGTTGTCTCTTGCATGAGGAAGTGTATCCCAACTGCACTATTTCAGTGATCCTTACCAACATTTCATTTGTTTGTGGGAAAACTATTGCAAGAAGTTTCCTGAGATTTCAGGGGATTTTTCTTCATTCTCAAGAGAAAAAACTCCGAAAAACTCAGACCAATTCATGTGACAGTTCTCCTATGAGAGAATAAAATGTTCATAGAAATACTGAAACAGCGCAGACAAGATACATTCCTCCGTGCAGAAGGGTGTCATAAGCTTGATGAAATAAAACACAAAAATATATTTGTTACACCCCGTTGGTGTAATTGCCCAGTCCGCGGACTGGGCAGAAAAGTTACTCAGTTCGTGGACTGGCCACCCCCGTTGCCCAGTCCGCGAACTGGCCATTTGATTTGCCCAGTCCGCTAACCGGCCGGTGGAAATTTGAAAAATTACGCCAACGGGCTACCCCTAATTTTAAAGACGCTTATGATGACTAACCGGAAGATAAACATCACAACAATTTCACCTTCGCACTTTGTACAGGCTTGGGACTGTCAGCCGATGAGGAAAAATTTCTAATTTATTGAACAAAACGAAAAAGAAACTTCTTCTTAATTTTTATTTGATTTTCGTACTTCTAAACCAGAAAAAAATTCACAGTTTCACACTGCTGCATCATCAACGATTTTAAACTATTCAAAAAAAACAATACACACCACTATTCCTGAATCGACCTTTCTGATTTTCTGATTTCTTGAAGTAAGGTAGAAGATCATCGTAACTCCATTCTGAGCTGTTCCGTGGAGACCATGAATCAAAGTCTTTCCTATGTCCCCGTAAGTAAACATTAAAATTGAGCCGGCTTGAACCACCAATTACCTTTCCTGATGGCCATTTGCATACCTGTAAAAAATGGGATTTTTTGAAAAGGTAAAGCTGGTGGAAGTTTTTTCTCATTATAGAATTTACTTATCTTTTGCTTAAATTTGGTGCTTTTTAATCATGAGCACCATTTCTTTCAGGTTGAGTATTTTCTTCATTTCCAGAAATGTAAAAAGGCGAGGTAAAAAATTTTTAAAATTTTAAGCAAAGGTGTTAAGGCATCCTCTTCACAAGGTATGGAAATTTCTTGAAAGTGACAAGAATTTTTGGGAAGACCATATGAAATTTTTTCTATGAAAGATATTTTTAATCCTTGATCCTTCCAGTTAGAACAAACATGACATTTACATACAGTAAATACTTGTTTGGCAAAAAAAAGGGATGCTTTTCACTAAAATTACTCATAAATCTTGCATTGAGAATGCATAAAGCTTTATATGAGGTTTTCCTTTGAACACAAAATTGTGAAGAAGTTATCGTTAAAAACGAAAAAGAACGTAAATAAAAATTAAGAAATAGAAAGCTTTTCCACCCACATGGTCTGTAAGACTTTTGCATGCATGCTCTTGCGGAGTTGTCCGGTGCTGCCAGGCGCAGTCTGATTCCTGCAATAATGGGGTGATCACAGGAATATTGTGAATGAATGAAGATCGAGGACCTGCTTCCAGGACTAAAATTTTGTACTTAGTTACTTCTGATAGTCGAGCAGCCAGAATAGACCCTGCAGTTCCAGCTCCAACTAAGAACATGAGAAACATTTTCAGCCAATGAATAACAGAAATGAACAAAAAAACAAAGGTGATGTATGTGAACATAGTGTGATTGAAAATAATGAAGTGATTTAAGGAGCAAGTCGACAGAGTAAGTCGGCATTCACATAACTCGTTTGCGGTGTCTGAAAATCTTCGCCTCTAGGTTATTTTTTTAGAGGAGAACAAATTGACATCATTCCTTGAAGTTTTTGCAGGATTTTTTTCGCACAGAGAGAAAAAATCACGGCAGTTTTAAGGAATTGCTGTTGAGTGGTTTTCCGTTTGAAAAATAAGGCATGGCAGGAAGTCTGCGACCTTGCAAACCGAGTTATGTGATTGCCGACTTACACCATCGAAGTATGTAATTGAGTGCATCATAACTAAATATTTCTCATCTGGTGTAGTTTCTCCGTGTCTTAGTCATTGTTTAGTTGGAGAAAATCAAATCAACAACTGTAGCTCTTGAAACATTAAAAAAAATTATGATGGTTAAAAATTTAAATAGGTAAGTACATTTCCTTTTGATTATTCTCAGGTATTCAGCAATTTGATGGGAACGGGTCTGTCTGTCACATTTCAAACTTTGGCATACTTTGATTTTGAAATGGAAAACTAACTACCACACATCATTAAATATGGGAATAGAGAAATTATTGTTACACGCAGGAGTGCAGAGACGTTTCGATCATGTGGGTGGGTCATGTTTGATTGAGAGCAGGATTGGTAAGGTTTTGATGGAAACTGAAAGAAGCAGACTGAAAGACTTAAAATGAGAGAACTTCCTCGATTTAGAAGAAGTGTTTGAGCCGATTATGAAAATACAAAAGGAATTACCAATGATAAAATCATACTCTGAACTGACATAATATTCAGGTGGTATGAAGTATGATGGAAATAGTGAAAACCAGAAGTTCAGTCGTAAGATGATGAAAAATGCCACTGACATTAGTGTGTACAGGATCTTGGCTGAGTAGAACTGGATCATCTTCACTGACTTTTAAGTGGTGATTGTTGATAAGGAATTTAGTTACAGAGTTTGGATCAGAACTGGAAAAGTTTAAAAAAGGAATCATTAAAACTGAATCACGATTCTGGCTATGGGATGAATGAGTGGCAAAGGTAGACAACCTCATAATCAGATTAACAAGTAGTAATAGTCACTTATTTAATTAAGTAAACACTGGTCAAAACTTTACATGTTTTCACAAACGACTGACAGTATTAATAGATTCAGGAGGAAAATGCACGTGACTCTTCAGTAATTAAATAGGATTACACGATTAAAATTACGGAAAAAATCGGTTAAATTTGTGTACTTTGCTAAATGCAGATAAATGATAAGAAGCTTTGTTTTGAATATAAAGAGGTTATGTTTTGATGCGATGTTATCAGGAAGTTGTTCAATGCCACACTGCCGCACACTAGTGTCGATGGCGTGAAAGCAGGACAAGAGAAAGAGGAGGAAGAAAAGCCAAAAAACCAAGCGGGGACGCTGCCTGAATATTAAAGTTCTGTCGCCTTGCTAAGGCGCAGGGATACAACTATTTGAACTCTCCGGAACGCGTGAGGTATCACTCTTCAATTGAAGGCGTTTTCGAATCTTCTGTATTTTCATGAGGAGATTTTCCAACTTGTTTTGCATTACATTCCAGATTTGAGTTCCGTTCATTATTTAGTTAAAATACTCCTGCTCCTTAATTTTTAATTTTTCTGCAAACAATATCCATTCGGGAAATACAACCCTAGCTCTAGCGCCCTTAAACTACGGCCTGAACGGTCGGAACTGCAGTTGCGGCACAGGAAAGCCAAAAAACCAAGCGGGGACGCTGCATGAATATTACGCTTCTGTCGCCTTGCTAAGGCGCAGGGATACAACGATTTGAACTCTCCGGAACGCGTGAGGTATCACGCTTCAATTGAAGGCATTTTCGAATCTTCTGTATTTACATGATGAGACTTTCCAAATTTGTTTGCATTATACTGTAGATTTGAGTTCCTTTTATTATTTAGTAATATTATTCCTGCATCTTATTTTTTAATTATTCTGCAACAATCATCTTTTTGCGAAATACAATCCTGGCTTTAGCGCCCTTAAACTACGGCCTGAACGGTCGAAACTGCAGTAGCGGCACAGGAAAGCCAAAAAACCAAGCGGGGACGCTCCTTGAATATTAAACGTCTATCGCCTTGCTAAGGCGCAGGGATACAACTATTTGAACTCTCTGGAACGCGTGAGGTATCATGCTTCAATTGAAGGCCTTGAAAGGCTCCTCTACCTTTAAAGATGAGGAATGTAGAGAGTTTTTTCCCTCTCCTGAAAAATCGCGTTTTCCGAGTTATGTGATTGCCGACTTACATCGTCGATATGTGTTTTGAGTTCTACGTTTTTTGGATGACTTCCAGATTTTTTTCGACTGAAATATTTTGATAGCAGGTAAAGGGCATCTACTACACTTCATTTCTGCAGCTTACTCAAAACCGCCAAAAATCGAGTTATGTGATTGCCGACTTACACCGTCGATATGCATCAAACTAACTCATTTTTGCCAAAATTGTCAGTTAGGCGGTATTGTTCCTTTGCCACTGATTTGAACTTTCGCGAAAATTGCCGAATTTTTCCTGAAAAACATGAATTCGTCACCTTCCAGGCAAAGTATCACAAGCGTCATGCGACGTTTAAAAATTTCCGCCGCCATTATATTTTTTTACAGAGAAATTGTTCAACGAAGCTGTCCAAAAATTTCACTGAATTTTTTTTGTGCTGCCGATAAAATTTAGTGAAATTTCCAAACAGATTCAACGAACAATTTCTCAGTAAAGAAATAAAATGGCGGCGGAAATTTTCAAACGTCGCATGGCGCTTGTGATACTTTGCCTGGAAGGTGACGAATTATTGAACAGTATTGAAAAACAGTAGCTTGAGTGTTATATACTGTAAAATGCATCAAACTAACTCATTTTCGTCAAAATTGTCAGTTAGGCGGTATTGTTCCTTTGCCACTGATTTGAACTTTCGCGAAAATTGCCGAATTTTTCCTGAAAAACATGAATTATTGAACAGTATTGAAAAACAATAGCTTGAGTGTTATATACTGTAAAATGCATCAAACTAACTCATTTTCGTCAAAATTGTCAGTTAAGCGGTATTGCAATACCGCTTAGCTGGATACGCACAATAGTATCGAGGAACATGTTCCTTAGTCGTCGATATGAACATTCGAGAGATGCCAAATTTTTCCTGAAAAACATGAACTGTTGAGCAGTATTGAAAAACAGTAGCTTGAGTATTATATACTGTAAAATTCATCAAACTAACTCATTTTTGCCAAAATTGTCAGTTAGGCGGTATTGGTCTTCCGCTCTCGAAATCCCCCTTGACAAATGTCCTCCTACCCCCTCCCCTCCCATCCAAAGAAGTTCCTTATTCCGTCAATGGCGTTAAATTACTCTTTTTCTATCGGTAAATTTGAACCAGGGAAGATTTAGTAAAGGAGTAAAACTCCTAATCGCATTGCATTTACCGATTTTCAAATGTACAGAGGGAAAAAAGAGAGAGAGAGAGAAACAATCGGATCCTTAGCCGGCGTGGCGCGGTGGCAGAGCTAATTTTTCAAAATTGTTTCGTCGATGGCCGGTGGAGATCGATCAAAACGGGAACGTGGACCGGTGGAACGGGTGATACAAATGGTGGCTTACCCTGCCACGCTAAGGAAGAACGCCGTATGAGCCGTCAGGCGTTGCCAAATTACCTTCGATAAAAACCGAATTCACCGGGAAAATCGTGAATACTATTTTCCAAAATTTTCAGACAATTTTGTACGCAAATTAAGCTAAAATATCTAAAAATTTCAAAGAAAAATGAGCATACACTGAAAAAAAAATCTCGGTGTTTTTACTAAAAAGGGTAAAATTACCAAGAATTCAGGGTTCTATTTGATCCCAGTTTTTTATTGGTAAAATTACCATTTATGGAATTGGTAATTTTACCGAGAAATCTCGGTAAAATTATTGAATTTTCTCGGTAATTTTACTGGATTTGGTAAAAACGCCGATATTTTTTATCGACTGTGGTAGAATTACCGAGATAAAATGGCAAAGTTACCGGGAATTGATTACCAATAAAAGTGGTATTCTTACCAGGAAAAAACAGTAAAAATACCGGTTTTTAGATAAGCTTACCAGTCTGTCTTGATAAAATTACCAATAATTGGTAAAAAAAAAGTGAGATGGTAAAGGTACCAACGGACCCTGGCAAAAACGCGAGAATTTTTTTTCAGTGTTATTTCCCAAAATTTCAGACAATTTTGTACGCAATTTAAGCTAAAAAATCTGAAAATTCCAAAGAGAAATAAGCATTAACCCTTTATTGCATAGCGTTGCATGAAAGCAACAAATGGTTTCCAGCTTTATTTCTATGCTGGAGTATTGAATTGAATCAAAGCAAAAAATAATTTTTGGGGAACATAACATGTCTGATCTCCTTGCTTAGAAAAAACCATAAAAATCGATTCCAACCGACTCTAGTGTCGAAAAAATTCTGTAGAATGTAGATTTTCCCTCCAAAATCAACGATTAGCTCATGCAACAAAGGGTTAATGTCGTCAATAATAAATGATTAATTTCAGGAAATTTGGCAACTCTCGAATGTTCATACGGCGTTCTTCCTTAGCCCGGCAGCGTGGCCAACGCCGCCAACAGCTTTGTTGAGGGGTCACGTCCGGGTCTCGGCCGGTGATGGAGCCCTTCTTTCTCGCTTTTAAATTAATATTGGACAAACGGATCGAGAGCGATTTGAAGGTTTATGAACCGCCGGAGTAATCTCTGGCCTCCGCGGCCGTCTTATTGTTTTATCCGTCTTTGGCGCTCTCCTCTATTTCAAGTGTCTAATCTTCCGCGATCCGTTTTTCCACGTTGCCAGCACGCTTCTTTTTCTATTATTATTTTTTTTTTTTTCGAAGTGGTTATTCGGCGGTACGGTACCTCCGGACAAAACGTTATTTGGCGGTACGGTGCCCGTGACTGGAAAATCTTCTAAGTATCGCCAAGGTGCTTTTAACCAAATAACGTTTTATCCGGCGAAAAACGCCATCCTTTCATTTTTTATTACACAGATACATAAATGTCGCTCTGCGACACCTAGCGCCAATGTACCTTATCCCCCCAAAGCCCCTCAGGGAGTTGGCACTCCCCCCATTTCCTCTATAACCCCAAGTGACCAACTTTCAACTATGGGAGACCCCTTCGTCTCCTCCTAGGAGGAACACGATCAAGTATCTTTTTCGACAGCACTTCCTCCGGCATCCTGTTAACATGGCCATACTAGACAAGCTGTTTGGTCATGACGTCGAATTTTTTTTATAATTCTATGGAAATTGGAGGGCAATCAATAAAGAGAGTAAGTGGGCACACCGGCACGGTGGTCTTAAAGCACAAAAAAAAAAAAAAAAAAAAAAAAAAAAAAAAAAAAAAAAAAAAAAAAAATTGACAAAAGTGTACCTAAAAACGGTTTGCGGTGGGTGAATCAAGGGTGCGTGTAAACTTATAAAATCGCCAAAAAACCAAATTTAGGCTGATCCAATTTTCGAGATATCGAAATTTGAAACTGTCATGGTAAATGCAAGTTTTCAACTGATTTTGATCTGGGTTTTTAATGTCCATTGAATCGGTGTCGATTCGTTCGCGACGATCCATTCAAATGTTTATTTTTCGTTCGATTCATGTCGATCGAATACATATCCTCTCGTTGCATGGAGACTCCCTGTCGTGCTCTTTTCTCTAACTGAACAATTCGCCTTCTGCTACGCCTGCAGCAATTGTTGTTACGAATACGTTGTGCGTGCTGATTTCACTTCATTACATACTTGACTCTCTGAGGGGGTTTTATGTGCGCAAGTAGCGCAATCTATCTGAGAACGGACGAAGTAGGGATTGAAAGAATCTCTCAATCTCACTTCGTCCGTTCTCAGACAGATTGCGCTACTTGCGCACATAAAACCCCTTCAGAGAGTCAAGTATGTAATAAGCTAAAATTAGTACGCACAACATACTCGTAACAACAATTGCTGCAAACGCAGCAGAAGGCGAATTGTTCAGTTAGAGAAAAGAGCACGACAGGGAGTCTCCATGCAACGAGAGGATATGTATTTGATCGACATGAATCGAATGAAAAATAAACATTTGAATCGATTGTCGTGAACCGATCGACACCGATTCAATGGACAAATAATTAATAACCCGGATCAAAGTCAGTTGAAAACTTGCATTTACTATGAAAATTTCAAATTGCAATGTCTCGGAAATTGGATCAGCCAACATTTTTATTTTTCGCGATTTTAAGTCTATACGTACCCTAGAT